ATGCCTTCTCTTACAGATCTCATCAGTAATTACAAGTTGTTGGTTAAGGTAAGCTCTACTTGAATTGTGTCTGTCACATGATCTTTTTTCCATTTGGTAACTGAATTTATGTATTAGCAATTTATAATAAGTGGGTACTTGTGACTTTTTAGGGCATCAGACTAGTGTGTTTCTGGAGACTTGGGGTTGACAAAATCATTGGGTACTACCAGACTTTCCAACGTGGATACCCCGGGAGGTCACTCTCCCCGGGCTCTGTCCTAGTGGCATAGGGGAGCATAGGGCCCTGCCCCGTGATGTACAGTCCCGTTCCACGACGTTGGAGATGAAGCTGGGCTTTGAGTCTGCGCCTGCATATTCCTACGGCTTCTCAGAGTCCTCTGGACCGTGACTGAGGAGACAAACCATGCAGGAAACAAGTCTAAAGAGGTGCTAAGTTGGTGGTCCATGCCTTTAATGCCAGCAGTTGGGAGGCAAAGGCAGGCAGTCTGGTCAACACAAAGTTCCAGGGCAGGCTCCAAAGCTATAGGGAAACCCCAGGGGTCTTTAAAAACTTAAAGTGAAGTGCTAAGGGTTTCAGTGTGCCACTTTTGAGAATCTGATCTTTGTTTTTCTTCAGGAAAGAAGAGGATCTGCACAGCTATCTACCTGCTGAAGGTTAACTTGGTGCTTTTAATTAGATACAATTTGGCAAAGTTGCTGTATTAGTGTTTAACACCGAACATTGTCAGTGCTGAGCATGCACTTTTCTCCCTAGCTATTCTTGGCCTGGTAAATGTATATCGATGTCTAGGTTTGTGCTTTAGCATGTATGTGGTCCATTTCCTGGTAGGATATACGCTGACTGCCCCAACACCATATAGACCACAAGTCGTATGGAATGGGATACAGAACTTCTATAAATAAATGCCTGACAACTGAATTAAAGGAAAAATTTTGACTGTATGTTTTCTTTTTGGATTAATGTGTCAGTACATGTATGCAGAACACTGGATGGTTTCTAGTTGGTCGTGTAAACCAGCTAGTGTATGATGCATGGATTGGGAATGAACTTGGACTGTGGGTAACACTGTTCCAATAAGTCTGGTCCAGTGTGTGGTGGGTTCACCTTAACCAAAGCTTGGCCTTATGATGTGTGCTAGGGGTGGTAGCTAGGTCACAATGGGAAGCCCTGATTCCCTGTGCTGGCTGCTTTCACCTTGGGAAAGTCAAGAAGCTGAATGATGGAATAGGGAGAAGGTAGGCTTTGAAGATGCTGGTACTTCTCCATGATGCATGTCAAGTGGGAATGAGGGTGGGAGGGAATGCCCTAAATTGGCATGGGTCATGCCTAAGTGTAGCTAGGGGTTCCAGCAGAAACACAGGCTTCTCAATTGAAACAGCCCATCTCATCACTAAAAGTGTCTTTCAATATGCTAACATAAGCTAGCACTAGCTTCTGGGGGTAAAACCTGTACCTCCCAAGTTCAATGAGCCTGTTCTTAAGGTTTTGTTTTAAATTTATTATGTATTCAGTGTTCTGCCTGCCTGTAGGCCAGAAGAGGGCACCAGATGTCATTACAGATGACTGAGCCACCGTTTATGTGAGTGATGGGAATTGAACTCTGGACCTTTGGAAGAGCAGGCAATGCTCTTAACCGCTGAGCCATCTCTCCAGCCCCCTTAGTTTTCTTTTTTTTTTTTAAATATTTATTTATTATGTATACAATATTCTGTCCGTGTGTATGCCTGCAGGCCAGAAGAGGGCACCAGACCTCATTACAGATGGTTGTGAGCCACCATGTGGTTGCTGGGAATTGAACTCAGGACCTTTGGAAGAGCAGGCAATGCTCTTAACCGCTGAGCCATCTCTCCAGCCCCCTTAGTTTTCTTATAGTGAGTTCTGGACAGGCATAATGCCTTGGCTACTGACAGCAAAATTGTTAACATCCACTTTAAATTTGGATCATCGCTCCTGTACCTGTGCAGGGGGGTGAACCCATAACCTAGGCAAGTAACCTTCCAGAGGACATAAGCCCCTAGATATGGTTGTCAGTTCCCAGTGCTTAAGTGGGTGAAGTATTTACTTTTATATGCTCCAAATAACATGGTTACTGTTTTAACTATTAAGGTACAGCCTTAAGACTTAAAGCCATTCAGGGCTACACAGAAGAGATCTTTCATATACCTATAACTGGAAGTACCAATTGAAGTATATAACAAGACCCTGTTCTGAAGAATGCTTAGGTTTCTTGGGGTTGACGGCAGAACACATGTACTAAACCCGGTGGCCATGGGTGTGTGAGGTCCTGGGTTCAAGTTCCAACAATGAAATCTGCTCAATCCTGAATAGAAGTCAGGCTCTAACCGCAACTATGGTGACTGAAGTCTTAATGTGCATTCGTGTTTAGGCTCAATGTTCATCTGAGCGTGTTGGGTTCCCTGGGATTAGAGATACCATGTTGGTAGTGCTCAGAATTGAACCTGGGCCAAGGGAAGAGCAGCCAGTGCTTTACAGCTCTTATTTCGTGTGTATTTATGTTCATGTACCGTGTGCAGGTCATTCCAGATATTTATGAGCTACCTTGTGCTGGGATCTCAACCTGGGTTCTCTGCAAGAGCAACAATTTTTTTTTTTTTTTTGGTTTTTCGAGACAGGGTTTCTCTGTAGCTTTGGAGCCTGTCCTGGAACTCCCTTGGTAGACCAGGCTGGCCTCGAACTCACAGAGATCCGCCTGTCTCTGCCACCACCGCCCGGCTAAGAGCAACAATTTTAATCTCATTTTCTACCTCAAGTTTTTGTGAGAAACAGATGCACTTAGGAAGGGTTTACATCTATGGGAGGTGTATCAGTGGCTGAAAGTTATATTGCTCTTCCAGAATGCTGGAGTTTGGTTCTTGGCACCCACATCCAGCAACTGCCTGTAACTCTAGCTCCAGAGGTCCCAGTGCCCTCTTGCAATCTGCACACCCTGCACTCAACATGCACAAACCCACACACAGACATAATTCAAAATAAATGATTTGGGGGCTGGAGAGATGGGTCATCTGGAAGAGCATTGGCTGTTCTTGTAGAGAGATGGGTCATCTGGAAGAGCATTGGCTGTTCTTGTAGAAGTCCCGAGTTCAATTCCCAGCAACCACATGATACCTGACAACCATCTATAGTGGGATTTGATGCCCTCTTCTGGCTTATAGGCATAGGTGCAGATAGAGCTCACATACATAAAATGCTTTAAGAAATTTTTAAAAATGAGTTTGAGGGACAGGGGCTTGGTGACACACCACTATAATCCTAGCACTGGAAGGCTGAAGCAGGAGGATTAGGCATTTGGTGACAGCCTAGGTACATGAGTCTTTCCCCTCCCCCTACATTTTTTTTTGTGAGATAAGTGATGATCATATTTCTGTAATTACATTAAGCCATGTGAATGGGTAAGATCTTGGAGAAAGACAGCAGAGTCTCCAGGGCGAAGCTTGGGGAAACTTCACAGTTTATCATCCAAGAGAGGAGGTCATAATGGAGGCAGAGGTAACCCTGAAAAGGTAAGACAAAACTAGGGGACCGATCTGGGGCTGGCACTACATAGTAATCGTCAAGAAATGGCTCCGTTGGCAAAGGTGCCCGCTGCCAAGTCTGAGGACTGAGTTTGCCTCTGGGACCCACATGATGAGTGGACAGAGAGGACGTAATTTTGAAAGTTGTCCTCTGTCCCCACAAGCACTGGACATGCGTATGCGCACAAACAGAAATGAAAACGTGTTGACAGGTGAAGCATCAAGGTCTAGAGCCCTCTCCTGGTTGTGAGCCCCACTTTTACTGACGGGCCAACCACTAGTTCTTGTAGACCAGGCCGGCCTCAAACTCACAGAGATCTGCACCTCTGCTTCCTGAATGGGATTAAAGGCGTGCTGATCTTGTTCTTTAATGAAGGTACCGTTTTCAAAATAACTGGGCATGGTCGTACACACGTGCTCTAGTGAGGCAGAGGCAGGCAAGGTAGAGCGCTTAACCTCTGAGCCATCTCTCCAGACCTGAAAGTCCATCTTTAAAGTCCTAATATTCTGTGATCAGAACCCTCTGATAGTAACTCACACTAGACCCTCAACCTCTACTACTCTAGGGTATATGGCAGTTTCACAGAACTTACCCTGTCATTGCAAATGTTACCTTTCTAGGACTGGAGAGATGGCTCAGGGAAATTAGGAATTCCAAGGACCTACAAGGCAGGTCACAACCATCTGTAATTCCAATTCTAGGGCATCAGGCGCCCTCTTTCGGGCTATTTCAAGCATGGCATGGCAAACATAGTACACAGACATACATGTAATAAGCAAATGTTACCCCTCCTGAATGCTTTTCCCACTTAGATTTAAATTGGAAAGCTTTTTCTAAATTTTGTTTGTTTGTTTGTTTTTGTTTTTCTAAACAGGGTTTCTCTGTCGCTTTGGAGCCTGTCCTGGAACTAGCTCTTGTAGACCAGGCTGGTCTTGAACTCACAGAGATCCGCCTGCCTCTGCCTCCCGAGTGCTGGGATTAAAGGCGTGCGCTACCACCGCCCGCATATCCTAGCACTCAGGAGGCAGAGGCAGGCGGATCTCTGTGAGTTCCAGGACAGTCTGTTCTACAGAGCGAGTTCCAGGGCTACACAGAGAAACTCTGTCTCAACAAGACAAACAAATCTGTTCCTGAGCCCTACCTACCTAGGCTGAAATCAGATGGCTCTGTATATGTGACAGTTGGATTTTTCAGCCCTCAGATGGACACTTTGAGAACTAGAACCATCAACCTTGTTTTGCTCCGCTACAGATCTCACGCACCAGATTTTCCAAACAAACCAGGATTGTAGCAATATCCTGCTGGTTGTCAGTCTGTCTGTCCCATTTTGAGGGCTGGAAAAAAAAAAAAAAAAAAAAAAGCACTGTAGTGGGTAGAAACTGGTAGCACCCGGTCGCACTTCCCGCGCTGGCCGCCAGGGGCCGCCCGGCTCTTTGTTTTCCTTTCCAGCCAGGGTCGCGGCCAGAGGCCCGCAGAGCGCATGCTCCGGGCAGTTCGCCGCCGGCCGCCGAGCGCCGGAGTTGCTTGTGGCAGTCCCGCACGGAGGTAGGTCGCGGGGATCCCCGGGGACCGGAAGCTGGGAGGGACGCGGGGCCGCGTTGGGCCGAGGTCGCCCACCGCGTGGTGTAGCGCGGGGCGAGCTGCACGTGAAGCCGGCCGCGCTGCGGGAGCGCGAGCTTTGGCCCTCGTGGGCCCCGCCTCGCCCGCGCACGGGCCGCATAGTCCCTTAGCCGCCGCGCTCCGGGCGCGCGCTCCGCCAGGCGGCGGGAGATTCAAACGGCTGGTGCGCGGCGGCCGGGGACGCGCGGGAGGCCGCCGGCAGGGAAGGAGCGGCAGCGTCCACAGACTATCGTCTACTCTTAACCCCCATCAATCAACCCTGTGTCACCCTATCGCTTGCTGCCTGTCGGTGCCGCGCTGTTCCTGAGCCAGTGGGGAACAATGGTGACAATGGCGGGCCTCCAAGTTCTTTGCGGAGCGCCGGGGCTCCCTGGCGAGACTTGCATGGTTCCACAGTTAGGGTCTCCTGGGATTAGCAAAGTACGTCCGTGGAACTCGAGCGTTGCTGCTGCCAAGTCTTTGGTCTATCAGAAATTAAGTCCTCCGACCACGTGTGGCCTGGCAGAAGTTGAGGGTATGAAATTCCAAAGCGGAAGCCTTTACCGGGCCGTGGAGGGTGACCCGATGGGGCTGACTTTGGGTGGTGAGGTTGTAATATGTTTTGAATAACACGGTCAGGTTAATCTAGACATGGGGCACAGCACATGCAGCCCCTAGAAGTGTTTGGGGTCACAGATGTCAGTGGTGGAACTTCTGGGGAGGGTTGGAGTGCGCGTGGAAGACACAGAGAAGGCTGCTTCGTCAGAGAAGAGCATCCTATTGGAGCTTGGGAAGATGAATTAGACGTAATTAGCCAAGGTCTGGTTGCAGAGTCAGCTAAGAACAGGAGTCCGGTTTGGGTCTCACTAGATCCTCTTAAGCCTTCGTTTTCTTACCAATAAAATGAATGTAATATATCCCAAAGCCAGTGGCTCTTACATCTGCTAGAAGCTGTGGCTCCTCTCTCTAGGGAAAAACGAGATAGCACTAGGGAGTACCACACCTGCACAAACACTGCCTTCTCTCATGGTAGCCTGCCCCACGAAGACATTCTGCAGCCCCTAAGTCTGATTGGGGAGAGGGTTGCAGATACTCCAGAAATGGGGTTGTGGTGACTCCTGGTAGATTGTGTAACCTGGTATACCTACCCCATTTGACTTGGCAGGTGAGGAAGCAGGCTTGGAGCAACTCCAGCTCAGGGGGGCTGTCCCCTGGGGCTTCATCTCAGCCATGAATGGCCTGCACACCTATTCCTGCCACGGGGACAAGTCTCAGCCCTTAGAGGGCCCCGCACTGTAACTTGTTGGAAGTTGGCTCCTTTCTGGTTTTTATTTCCTAGTCTTGCTCGCCCTTCTGGTTTTTAAACCTCTTGAAGATGGATCCTGGGGCGTAAATGGGAATGCAAGGATGGCGACGGGAGACAGGTGTTTGGGTTTCGTTTTTTATGTGTATGAGTGCATGGATGTCTGTGTTCCACATGCATGCAGTGACCCACAGGGGCCAGAAGAGGACATTGGATCTCCTGGGAATGGAGTTACAGGTTGTTGTGAGCAGCCTTGTGGGTTCTGGGCACCAAACCTGGGTCCTCTAGAAGAACAGCAACCAGTGCTGAGCCATCTCTCCAGCCTGGGCTATGTTAAAACAGTGTAGGTCTCATTTTGTAGACCAGGCTGGACTTGAATTTGTGGAAATCAGAAATCCTGCCTCGACCCACCACGCCCAGCTAGGCTGCCCTTCCCCTGCCTGCCTTCTGGGTTTGTGCACACTGCCAAGTGCAGCAAGTAGACTTCCTGCAGTGCAGATGAAGAATATGGGGTACCTCAGGATCTCTTCCTCAGCAGTGGCTCCTCGAATTTGTTCAAACTTATTGGACATCCTCAGATCTTGCTGTATAGCCTGGGTTGGTCTTGGTCAGTTTCCTAGGTTCTGGGATTATACAAACAGCACTTTTTTCCCCCCTTAAAAAAAGTGAAGGCTGGGTGGTGGTGCACACCTTTAATCTCAGTACTCAGGAGGCAGAGGCCAGGCTAGTCTACAGAGTGAGTGCCAGGACAGCCAAAGAAACCCTGTCTGGGTCCTTTTTCCGTCTCTCCTTTGCTGTCTGAATATGGGGAGGAAACTTCCAGTTCTAAGCGTCAGCTCCCTCGGCCATGGTAGAGGGGCTACACTGTCTTCAGCTTTTCTGAGTTGGGTTGAGTTTGTTGTGTGTCGTGTGCACGTGTTCATGTGAGTGTGCATGAGGGCCTGACTGTGTGCATGTGGAGGGCAGAGTTTGTCTTCCTTGATTGTGTTGTGCCTTACTTTTGGAGACGGCATCTCACTGAACCAGGAGTTCACCCATTAGGGTCCACTGGTAGCCATCGAGCTTCTCTGCACTAGGGTTATGGGAGTGTGCTATGCCTAGCATTGTGTGAGTTCTGGGGTTGGGAACTCAGGTTCACATGCTTGCCTGGCAATCGCTTTACTGACCCAGTCTTCTCCGAAGCCCTTGGTTTGGTTTTTGAGACAGGCTGTTCTCAATCTGGCTGTGTGGCCAGGGATGATCTTTATCTCACAAATGCCTGACTTCAGCTTGTTTTGAAAAGTAAAAGTTTTTGTACAGCAAAGATTCATGAGTTGTTTTCTAGTTTCTTTGGGAGGGAATGATGGGTTAGGAGGGGAACAAGGGGGGACTTTTGTAATGATCTTACTTTTTTTTTTTTTTTTTTTTTTTTTTGGTTTTTTCGAGACAGGGTTTCTCTGTGGCTTTGGAGCCTGTCCTGGAACTAGCTCTGTAGACCAGGCTGGGCTCGAACTCACAGAGATCCGCCTGCCTCTGCCTCCCGAGTGCTGGGATTAAAGGCGTGCGCCACCATCGCCCGGCATGATCTTACTTTTTTACTAGAATGAATGTAAGCTCCACGTGTACAGGAAGCAGCTTAACCTCTATCTTTGCATCTTAATCCAACCCCAGGCAATCCTGAATACTTGGGAGATGAGTATATTCGTGTCACTGTTTGACTGCCTGCTCTGTGCTAGGGACATCCAGTCCCAGCTTCTGTCCACCCTGAGAGGTAGCAGATTGTTAACGGTTGAGCAAACCAGAGCCCTAGAAGATGACTCGAGTCCCAGTGACTCCAAAGAGCAGGCATTTAAGTGTGAGGAGAGGGGTCTCAGAGACGCAGCTAGGAAGGGAGGGGATGCCATTGCTGGGAGAGTGGAAACTGCAAAGTTCAGAATTGCCACCTCATGACAGAACTGGGCCAGCCACAACCCGCACAGGCTCTGCAGGATCCTGACCTGTTTTTGGTTCCTCCCTTGGAATCAGAAGTCTCTGGCCTTGTGTTCACACCTTCTGAGTTGACAACTGGGAAGCCTGAGGCCCAGGGGTGGCTCTGACGAGACCCTCAGCTGACGTGGAGAAGGGCCTTGAGCAGTTTTCATTCCTGTCAGGTGAGGAGGGACTGGTGAGCCTGCTTAGACTCCAGTAGGTTTCTGTCTCAGTGTCATCTGGGAACACCCTGAAACACCACTGTCCCACCAGAATTAACTTATGAGCAAGCTCTTACTCTTCGACCATTTTTATTTGTTGTTGATATTAATTTATCATTGGCTTTCTTTTTGGTTTTTTGTTTATTTTTTCAAGATAGGGTTTCTCTGTAGCTTTAGAGCCTGTTCTGGAGCTCACTGTGTAGACCAGGCTGGCTAGTCTGCCTGCCTCTGCCACCTGATTGCTGCGATTAAGACCCACCACTCCCAGCTCTATCTGTCTATTTGTTTGGTTTTCGGGACAGGGTTTTTTTGTTTTCTTTTTTTGGTCTGGCTTTCCTGCAACTCATTATAGAGATCACACTGGCCTCAAACTCAGACCTACCTGACTGCCTCCCGAATGCTGGGACTAAAGGTGTGCACCCAGCCCAGCTTAATTTTAATTTAATTTAATTTTAATTAAAACTGAGGTGAAATCCAGAGCCTCAGAAATGTTAAAAGAGCACTCTGACAGTAAGCCACACCCCAGCAGTATACTGTCATTTAAACCTATGCGTCAACCACTCCTGGAAGCACGGATCTGTAAACTCAGCTCAGGTGTGGCCCAGAAGGAGAGGAGCTTGGCCATTGGAAGCTACACTGCACCCTGTTTCAAAGGAACAGGTAATAACTGCCAGATTGGTGATGCTCGGGAGGCACCACTACAGATCGATTTACAGGATAGCCAGGGATACATAGAGAAACCCTGTCTCGAAAAAACAAAACAACCCCTCCCCCCCAAAAATAACCACAAACAAAAAAAAATTAGTTAATACCAAGCTAAAATGGAGACCAGGCAGCTCTTCAGACTGCTCGCTTTGGGTGTGGGGTGTTGATTTTGTTTTCTGTGGTTCGTCGTTTCACTTTATTTGGAGATTGAGTCTCCCTGTGTAGCCCTGGCTGGCCCGGAATTAACTGTCTAGACCAGAGATCCGCCTGCCTCTGCCTTCTGATTGAGCGCTAGGGTTAAGAGCATGAAGCACCTGTTTCCCTTGTTTGCGTGTGTTTGAGACTGGCTGGCCTGGGATTTGGATGCTGCAATGCTGGGGTCATGCATGGGCACCACACCTGGCTTCTGACTGCTCTTCTTTGTCACAAGGGGCATCTTTCTGTTCAATAGATTTGTCTCTAAGAATGTCACTTTTGATGGCTTCCTACCATTCCATCATGTATATTCTACCTATGTAGCCAGTTGACTCCTCCCGCCTGCACATTCCTAGTGTACAGACATGCCACCAGGCCCAGTTTATGTAGTGCTGGGATTTGAACCAGGATCAGACATGAAGCTTAGGCATTTCTCACCAGGCTGGATATATCCCCAGCCCTTAGTCCACTACTATTAATTAAATGGTTTGCTCACTCCCGCACCCCATACCCCTATGTTACCAGCAGTAGAGAATATTTGTGAGCTCAGTTATTATCCACTTATCCACTCAGCAGTTCTGGGGTGGATGCTGGGGGGAGGGTGTTAACTTCTGGGTGACTCCTTACTTTTTAGGGTTTTTGGGGTTTTGGTTTTTTTGAGACAGGGTTTCTCTGTGAAACCATCCTGGCTATCCTGGAACTCACTCTGTAGACCAGGCTGGCCTCGAACCTACAGAGATCCACTTGCCTCTGCTTCCTGAGTGCTGGGATTAAAGGTGTGCGCCACCACCCACTGGCACTGCTTTTGATAAATATTATACAGAAAGATGTTTGTGATTCTGACATGTAGTATTTGGCTGGGCTTTTCAGGACAGGAAGATGCCACCCAAGCGCATAGCTAAGAGAAGGTCACCCCCAGAAGATGCCATTCCCAAAAGCAAGAAGGTGAAAGGTAAGCTAGCCTTGGTCCCTTCCTGGCTCTGAGAGGTCTAAGAACAAACAGTGAATTCTCTGGGTCCATGCTCCTTCCTCCCTGGCTGGAAGCTCTGAGGGGCTTAGATGTCTAGGGACCCCTGCTCAGCAGAGGTCCTCGTGCATCTCCCCCAGTCCGACCCTGTAGCAGTCAGCAGAGAGGCGTAAGCTGAGGCCTGTCAGAGAGCACTTGGAGCAATGTTGTCAGAAAAAGAAAACCCCAGATCCTAGGCAAATGCATTATGGTTTGTTCTCTCTATGATACTTTGATTTCTTCCCCCTGATAGTGGGGAAAGTCCTTGGCCTTAGGACCATTTGCTCTAACCTGACAGCTTGAAAGCCTGAGGCTCTTGGATCTGCTGTGCTTTCAGAGTTGGGTCAGGTCCTAGCTCTACCACTTTCTGGCTGAGCTAATCTGGCTGAGGGTGAGTTCCCCTTGGTAGAATGGAGATGAGACTCCACCAGCCTGTCTGAGACATTGAGGATTAGACGAAGTAATGCCCCAGCTTCGTTTGAGGGACCTGTCCTATAATTTTTCTCTCCTACAACCCCAGAGTGTGTCGAAGACAAGAGAAATTGACCCCTAGCATGGGAGGGAGGAGCATAGACACATGCTCAGACAGTGTCTGTTTTTTGCAGACCCTCGTAACCGCGGTCCTGCCGCCCGCTCCCGCCAAGGTGCCTGTGGGCCAAACCCAACTGACCCGAAAACCCAACCAGATGGCTCCCTGCCTGGTGCAGCCTCTGTGCATCCGCAGTGGCCCTGGCAGCTGAGGCCACACCCCTGGGGAAGGGACTGGATACCATTGACTGAAGGGCTGTGGCAGGTTTCCATTGGCTGCCAGAAGGCTTTGCACTACCCACTGATTGGCCCACATCTCTCTGCAAATGCACCTGTGGGTTCTTACTGTGCCTTCCTGTTCTTCTGAAGCTGTCACTGTGCTGCTCATGCTGGCAAAAGGGGTAGTCTCCTTTCCTCCTGTGTTTGGGAATTGGAAATCTGGTCTGGGGGTGGAGGGCCATTCAGATAGAGGCTGTTAAGTGCTGTAACCCAGGAAGTTGCCCTGTGTTCATTGCAAACTCTGCTAATCAACTTTATGAGCTCTGATCCATGTCCTGTAAAAAAACAGAACAGTGTCTTCTACTTTTGATGTTTGCTTGAGACACAATAGTCCTGGCTGTCCTGGAACTCACTATGTAACCCAGGCTGGCATTGAACTCCCAGATATTTTGCTGCCTCTGCCTTCAAGGGCTGGGATTAAAGGCTTGCGCGACTACCTGGCAATAGCTAGGGGTCTTCTAAATATGGGAGGTCTGCAGAGCCAGCTAATGTTGGTAGAGCAAGCAGTCAGTGAAAGGTTGGCACTATGGGTGCACACCTGTGGCATGGTCTCTGCGGGAGACTATCTTGTAACCTCACTGCCCGTGTGCCCTGCCCAAGACATCCATTTCACTGTGAGAGAATGTCGGCTTGGGTTTTAATCCTCACAAACCTTATGAGACAGATCCCGTCGTCATCCTTGTTCACAGATGAGGACGCTTAGGTCTTTCTTATCTGTAGCCTGTTGGCAGAGCAAGGGCTTGAACCCCAGGTCATTGGAGTCCTAGAGCCCATGCTGTGCCCTCTGCTGCCTTCATCCTGCACACTCAGGGGCCGTCTTCTCCACTCTTCAGTCTCACACAGGTCCCACAACACAGAACCAGGCTTGGTGCTGACACTGGGCCAGGGCGACGTGGGCCAGCTGGGGCTGGGTGAGAGTGTGCTGGAGAGGAAGAAGCCGGCCTTGGTACCCCTTCTACAAGATGTTGTGCAGGCTGAGGCTGGGGGCATGCACACTGTGTGTCTGAGCCAAAGTGGCCAGGTAGGTCAGAGGGTTGGGACTGGTTAGATAGGGCCTGGGTACAAGGGTGTGGGGCAGGACCTGGCTATAGACGCAAGGAGCGGCCTAAATGAGTAGGCCACAGAAGCAGACTTTGTGCTGATGCCACACCCTGGGTACAGGTTTACTCCTTCGGCTGCAATGATGAGGGTGCCCTGGGAAGGGACACATCAGTCGAGGGCTCAGAGATGGTCCCTGGGAAAGTGGAACTGCAGGAGAAGGTGGTGCAGGTGTCAGCAGGAGACAGTCACACAGCAGCCCTTACCGAAGATGGCCGTGTCTTCCTCTGGGGCTCTTTCCGGGTAAGACTGGGTCTGGAGAATTGGGGGTGGGGGCCAGCAGGCAAAATTAACACAGGATACCCAATGGTTCACGACAGTTTCTTTGTGTAGCCCTGGCTTGTAGAGCAGGTTAGCCTCAAACTCAAGGAGATCTGCCTGCCTCTGTCTCCCACAATGCTAGGATTAAAGGCTTGTGTCACCACCTCCTTGTTGTTTTAATTATTTTATCTCTTTTTTTAATATTTATTTATTATGTATACAATATTCTGTCTGTATGCCTGCAGGCCAGAAGAGGGCACCAGACTCCATTAAAGATGGTTGTGAGCCATGTGGTTGCTGGGAATTGAACTCAGGACCTTTGGGAGAGCAGGAAATGCTCTTAACCTCTGAGCCATCTCTCCAGCCCCCTCCTTGTTTATTGTAAACATTTTTATAGAGAACTTTTCAACACAGAATACTCAGAATAGTGTATTGCACCTCTATCTTCTTGCCCTGCTGCTTCAACAATTAATTGGCTTTAGGCAGATTTGTTTGCCTCTGCTCAGGTTTTTATCCTCGCTTGCATTAGCACAGTTTCCAGACTGGGGATACTGTCAGTCTTCAGGGTGTCCATATGTGGCCGGGAGCCTGCCTGTCTCACTGTCCACATCTGCTGCCACTCCCATTCTTTACCAGGCAACTGCCATGGCCTCAGCAAGCCTGGGCTTGCCCGTTACAGTCTCTGCCCCTCCTTTGTAGGACAATAATGGTGTGATTGGGTTGTTGGAGCCCATGAAGAAAAGCATGGTACCTGTTCAAGTGCAGCTGGACGCACTTGTGGTAAAGGTAGCCTCAGGTGAGTGTTGGGTGCACTGGGCTGGAATGAGGACAGTTCGGCCTTGGTTCTTACAGACAAGCCCTTCATCTTGTGTCTTCCTCTCGTCTTCAGGGAACGACCACTTGGTAATGCTGACAACTGATGGAGACCTCTACACCTTGGGTTGTGGGGAGCAAGGTCAGCTGGGGCGTGTTCCTGAGCTATTTGCCAACCGAGGTGGCCGCCAGGGCCTTGGTAAGTGGCTTTGGTACCTCCAGTGGGATGATTTGGTAAACCATCCCCTGGCAGAAGTAGAAAGTGGGAATGTAGGTGGAGATTCTCATCTCGCCTGGTCTCCCAGAGGTTTACTAGTAACTACATACTGTTTGGCCTATTAGCTCAGGTTATTATTAACTAGCTCTTACATCTTAGATTAACCCATTTCTATTTGTTTGACCATGAGGCTCGTGGCTTGATGTCTCACGTCTTGCTTCTGTGGTGTCTGCTGACATCTCCTTCAACTCTGCCTTTTTCCCTGTATTCAGTTTGACTTTTACCTCCTAACTGTAATCTGAAAGCAGCTTCTTTATTAACAATTGGTAATAATAAAACATATTGACAGCATACAGAGGGGCATCCCACATCACAGGTGGGATTCTGTTGAGGGTTATATCCTGTGCACTTGCAGTGTTCCTTAAGAACTCAGACTGGGCAGTGGTGGCACACGCCTTTAGTCCTAGCACTTGAGAGGGCAGAGGTAGACAGACCTGTGAGTTCAGGCTAGCCTGGTCTACAAAGCAAGTTCCAGGAGAGCCAGGGCTACACAGAAACACTACTACCCACTACCTCAAAAAAAAAAAAAAAAAAAAGCAAAAATGCTTTAAGGTGGAATGGTTGGTGGCAGATACCTTTAATCCTATCAGTCAGCAAGCAGAGGAATGTGGGTCTCTGAGTTTGAGGCCAGCCTGGTATACATAGTTCTAGGCCAGCCAGTAAATAATGAGACCCTCTCAAAAAGGGTGGGGGCACTGGAGAGATGGCTCAGTGAATAAGAGCACTAACTGTTCTTCCAGAGGACCTAGGTTCAATTCTCAGCACCCACATGACAGCTCACAATTGTCTGTAACTCCAGTTCCAGGGGAATCTGACACCTTCACACCAATGCACATAAAATAAATTTAAATTATTTTACACAGAGGGATGTGGGGACCCTTAGACCTTGGAGGCTGTCTCCTTATCTCTAACTCCACCCCACTCCTGCTGTCTACTGTGAAGAGAGAAGTGACTTAATCAGGAAGATTCCTGGCACTCAAGTTCCACATAAGCTTTTCTTCTCGTGACTGTTAAAAATGTGAACCGGCAGCCGGGCGGTGGTGGTACATGCCTTTAGGGCCAGAGCTGCTACACAGAGAAATCTGTCTCGAAAAACCAAAAAGAAAAAGAACATTGACCCTGCGTTTACGCTCCATTGGCCTAAGTTACCTCTTCCTAACAAGAATGGCCCTGCTCGACTTCTCGGACTTTTGTGGAAGAGAAAACCCCCTGGGTCTGTCATTGATCCTGGCTTCCTCTTTCCTGACAGAGCGACTCCTGGTCCCCAAGTGTGTGCTGCTGAAATCCAGGGGGAGTCGGGGCCGTGTGCGCTTCCAGGATGCCTTCTGTGGTGCCTATTTCACTTTTGCCATCTCCCGTGAGGGCCATGTCTATGGCTTTGGCCTCTCCAACTATCACCAGCTTGGTGAGTACTGGCCATAGCATCAGGCTGCACTCGACCTTGGTTCCAGCTCTAGCTTTTGAACTTTGCTTTTGCTTTGTGGGGTACCTGATCCCTTAAAGCTGTGGTGTAAGGTGGCATTTCTGGGGAATGGTGGGTGTGGCCTTTCTGAGGATGACAGTGATGGAAGCTTCTGGAACACCTTTACCCTCGACAACAGGAACTCCAGGCACTGGATCTTGCTTCATTCCTCAGAACTTGACATCCTTTAAGAATTCCACCAAGTCCTGGGTGGGCTTCTCAGGTGGCCAGCACCATACAGTCTGCATGGATTCGGAAGGTAGGTCGCACAAGTCCTTCTTCATGGGACACAGTCGTCCCTGACACAGCCAGCGTCCTAGGATTATGATTTGGGCCAGACATAGATTGCATCTGTGAGGGTTATCCTGGTACTTCAGAGTGGGAGCACCATGGGGGTTGTGTAGAGCATCTTCTAGCTCCCACCCCCAGATGGTGAAAAGGTCCTGAGACCTCACCACCTGAGATCTGACCCTCAAGAGCATGGGGACTCAGTCAGTGTGCTGTCTGTTTTACTTGGAATATGCCCCTGCTGATACTCACCTTCTCCTTATTCCACAGGAAAAGCATACAGCCTGGGCAGAGCTGAGTATGGGCGGCTAGGCCTTGGGGAGGGTGCTGAGGAGAAGAGTATACCTACCCTCATTTCCCGGCTGCCTGTCGTCTCCTCAGTGGCCTGTGGGGCATCTGTGGGCTATGCTGTGTCCAAGGATGGTGAGTGGGGCTCCTCAGGTCTGGTGTGGTTGGAGCCCGGGGAGCACGATTCCTAGCATATTCCACAGGTTGTCTTGGAGATGACTCTGCTTTGCCACTGACTCTCAGGAACCCTGGAGTATTTTTGCTATTTTGTTTGGGCGTTTTGATTTTGAGACGGGGTCTCTCTCACCGTGTAGACCAGGCTGGCCTGGAACTCAGAGATTCGCCTGTCCCTATCTCTGCCTCCGCCTTGAGTGGAACGGGTGTTGAGATCACAGGCATGTGCCATCATGCTGGACTTAATGTAATGAGTCTTTTTCTGCCCTGCCAGCCAGTTCTCAAATAATGGCACAGACACCTTTTATTAATTATGAAAGCTTGTTTCTAACTAGCTGTTATAACTTAAATTTATCCATTAATAGTCTACATTCTTTCACATGGTGTGACATCTCTTTTATCTTGTACCTTCTATTTTCTCTGCGTTTATCCTGGCACCCTTCCACACCTAGATTCCTCTTCCTTTCTCTCCCTGGAAATCTCACCTGTACCTACTGACTAGCTATTGGCTGTTCAGCTTTTTATCATGCTAATCACTGTCATGCATCTTCACACAGTGTATAAGTATCCCACAACACATTTTTTTATGTTTATGTTGTTTTGTCTGCATATATGTATATGTACTATGTATGTGCTTGGTGCCTGCAGAGGCCAGGAGTGGGCATCAGATCCCCTGGGACTGGAATTACTGACGGTTGTGAGCTGGATGTGGGCATATAGTAGCCAAAGCGCAGAAAGAGGTGCACAGCCAGGGACCCTCCAGAATTCAGGCTGGCAGCAGTGCTTGTCCTTACCTGGGAGACTTCCTCAAGAAGTGAGTTTGCACTGCAGCATTCAGTCCTGAACAGAAGTTCAGTCCTTTGTGAAAACCAGAGGATAGGCCAGGTGTTGTGGCACACACTTTCAGTTCCAGCACTCAGGAGGCAGAGGGAAGCACATCACTTGAGTTTGAGGTTAGCCTTGTCTACATAGTGAGTTCTAGGCTAGCCAGGGCTACATAGTGAGACCTTATCTAAAATAAAAAAAAAAAATTAAAAAACACCACCCTGAGGGTGGCATATCAAACCCAGGAGCATCTTAATTAGTCTTAAAAGGTGACTGGTTCAAGGAACAGGGATTTAGGATGTAGCCTCCTGTGGTGCCATGCTCTGGAGTAGGGAGAATGCAGTGGGGGAGCAATCTCCTCAGCTCTTCCAAGCTCCTTTGAACTTGGGCTGGGGCCTTGCCAGACTGCTATTGGCCAAGGCCACGTATCTCTTGGTATGGCAAGGCAGGCCTGAGGACCTCAAAGACAGCTGCCTCTTTTTCTATCCCTTCTAGGTCGTGTTTTTGCATGGGGCATGGGCACCAACTACCAGCTGGGAACTGGGCAAGATGAAGATGTCTGGAGCCCTGTGGAAATGACTGGCAAACAGCTAGAGAACCGTCTGGTCTTAAGTGTGTCCAGCGGGGGCCAACACACAGTCTTATTAGTTAAGGACAAGGAACAGAGCTGATGAAGTCTTTGTGGGCCTGGCTTCTGGCCCCCAATCCAGCTTCACAGAACAGGAAAACGGCCAGCAACAGATTCCAGAAGGCCCCTCCCCAGCCCTGACAGCTATCATCTCCTGTCTTTTCCCATCACCACAGCAGAGCCCTTTTCTTCTGTTTCGTCCTCTTTTCTAGAATCATCCTGGGACTTGCAGGATGAGGGAGGATGGGAAGGGGGTCTCGTAAGGAACTTTGCTTACCCTAGACTTACGTCATTAGACCTTTCCCTTCACTGCTCTGCCTCCTGTGGTCGTCGTAGGCCCATTGCCTGCAGAGCCCAAAGCTTCCTGCCCACACTCTGAAAAGCTGGGAACTCCATCAAGCCCCCCTTCCCCTGTGCCACTTCTTATTCCTGCCACTAGCTTACAAGGAGACAGGTGGTGACACAGTCATCAGATCCAGTTGTCATGGACCATGCCTGGGGAGATCTGGACAAAGGCTTTACAAGGCTGTGGGTGACCCTAAGCCAAAAATCTGCCACTAAACAGGTGTCCATGGGCAAAAACAGTGACCCATTTGAAAAAAAAATCCAACTAGCTTGCCCAAAAGCACAAAGCACCCACTGTGTCTTGGGCATTGCCTGTGCATTCCCCATTCAGTCAGTCTTTCTGTCCCAGAAGACTGGAAAGCCTCGCTGGGGGCTCTGCTAGGCAGTCAAGGCAGGGTATTGGGCAGGGGTGGGGTTGGAGGCCAAAGCTTGGAGGAACAGAGGCTGGTCCTATGAAAAGGAGGTAACAGTGGCTGAGAGGATAGTTTTGATTTTTTTTAATTATAAAATATTTTGGAGGGGGGGAGTGAAATCTTTTAACACTTTGAATAAATTTAGAGTTTTTTAAAGTGGGCTCTTTGTTTTATTCAGGTTCCCCGGGGTTGTTTTGTTGTCCTAAAAGAAGCACCTGCCATGTGCCAGGCATGATGAAGAGGGCAGGGTAGCATGCCTGTGGGCAGTTGTCAAGGCTGTGGCCAACACAGCTGTGAGCTTCCATGCGCTTGCTGGGAATTGACCCCGGGTCCTCTGGAAGAACCATTGAGCCATCTCCAGCCCCTGGGATGGGAAAGTATTTTTGTTTTGTTTTTGGCAGGAATTTACTGTGTCCCTGGCTGGTCTGGAACTCACTAGCTTTGAACTCACAAAGATCTGCCTGCCTCTGCCTCCCGAGTGCTGCTGGGATTAAAGGTGTACCACCAGGCTCCCAATTTACTGGACTGCTTGCATTTTCGACAGCTGGTATCTTTGCTTAAAACTTGGGTGCTCTGTGGTAAACTTCCTGGGAAATGCTATACACACATGTCCACATACCCAAATAGGGAACCTAGAACAGATTGAATTAGATACCACCAAAATCAGCCTTTGGACCCAGACCCATAGCAGAAGGGAACATGAAATTTGGAGACCCATAGTTGGCTTGGGGATGGAAGGGTCTTAGGGCTTCTTCAGGCACTCAGGGTGGCCTTCATTGTCAGAACTGATCGCAAGGCACAGGGGCTTCCCATTTCTTAATTTTTTGTTTTGTTTTGTTTTTTGAGACAGTTTGTGTAGCCCTGGAACTCTGTAGACCAGACTGACCTTAAACTCAAAACAATCCATTCACTTGCCTCTGCCTCCTGAGTGCTGGGATCAAAGGCATGCACTACCACCCACTTTCTCCTGAGCCTGGGTACCAACCTTATGTTGAAGCCTGGCGGGGAGCTCTCAAAAACCAAGACTAATAAACTGGGCAGTGGTGGCACACACCTTTAATCCCAGTACTTGGGAGGCAGAGGCAGGTGGATCTCTGAGTTCGAGGCCAGCCTGGTCTACAAGAGCAAGGATAGGCTCCAAAGCTACAGAGAAATCCTGCCTTGAAAAAAAAAAAGTTTAGCCGGGCGGTGGTGGCGCACGCCTTTAATCCCAGCACTCGGGAGGCAGAGGCAGGCGGATCTCTGTGAGTTCGAGGCCAGCCTGGTCTACAAGAGCTAGTTCCAGGACAGGAACCAAAAGCTACGGAGAAACCCTGTCTCGAAAAATCAAAAAAAAAAAAAAAAGTTTACTGAGGGTTTTCTATGGGTAGTTTTGTGCTCTGAGGTAAGCCTTGGCATTGTGGAGTAGAGTGGGAGGGACCAGGAGTGGTGTCTCCCACTTGTAAACCTAGAAGACTAAAGTAGGATTGCCAAAAGTTACTGCAGCCAGCCTAGATTATACAGTGTGTACCAAGACGGCTTGAGCAACATAATGCCTAGCCTTAAGTCAAAAATATAAAAATTAAAGCGGTAAAGCGGGCTGGAGACGTGGCTCGGGCATTAAAGAGAATGAATGCTCTTTCAGAGGACGAGTTTATAGAGACAGAAGCATAAACACTAGGCATTTTTGGGCCGGCCAGGGCTACATAAAGACGGTGCCCCCGCCCCAAATGATGGGTGAGAGGGCTTTGATTGGATTTTAAGTGAGTTTTTTCGGGCTGGAATGCAGAGCCAGAGGACAGCTATGCAGGCAGCAGCTCGTCCAAGCCCCCAGAGAGGTTCCGTCACTAATTTACCTTCGTGCTTATGCTCGGAATTTCCTAGAGTGCGAGTCTTACCTCTTTTTATTATAGAAGTATTTACTAAGTAGCGGAGTAGTTTGCTTAGCGGCGGCTTCCCGCGCCCCTGCCGAAGCCACGCCCCTACCCGCCCGGAGCCACGCCCCCTAAAAGCCGGAAGCTGCTGACACAAGTGAGGAAAACCCGGATCGCTGCGGCTGCGTGTGCGCAGGAGGCGTCGCTGACGCAGACTCCGCCGACTCCGGCGGTCTCCGCTGCGCAGACGGGTGCGGGCGCGGGCGCAGGCCCGCACGGTCCCCGCCCGGGTGCGGGATGGCGGCCAGCCTGTGGATGGGAGACGTGAGTGAGGGCCGCGCCTGCTCCGAGAGGACCAGAGGGTCTCGAGTCCAAGGGGAGGGCGGGGCTGAGGGCCAGGGGCCTTCCAATCCCTGGAGGGTGGAGGTGAACTGGACCGGTTCTAGGAACAAGGAAAAGCCAGGCCGGTAGTGCGGTTTGAGGCGCAGGCCTTCATCCCTGCACTTGCGACCGAGGCAGGAGGCCCGCCACAAATTCGAGGCCGCGTAGCAAGTTCTGGGCTGGTTGGGGCTCCGCAGCGAGGCCCTTTCTCACTCCTGCCCTGATAGGACAGGGAGGCTGGGCATCAGAAGGAAGAGTTATCAGGTGCAGAATCTACGGGTTACAGGTTTTGGAGTCCCCCTTTCCAATATGGCAAAGAAAAGGGGACATTGGGGGTGGAATGGGAGGACTCCCCCGAAGAATTGAGGGGCCTTTTGTTTCTAGAGCCGAAGGCACGCAGAGTTCCAAAAAGGGGAGCGATTTTGTTTGTTATTTTTGTTTTGAGATGGGAGCTCACATAGTTCTGACTGTCCTGGAACTCACTATGTAGACCAGCCTGGCCTCGAACTCACAGAATTCCGCCTGCCACTAGCTCCCTGGTGCGGGGGGGGGGGGGGGGGGGGGGGGACCAAACGCGTGAGCCACAGGGCCCCGGAAGGGGAGCCATTTGAAGTAAAGAAGTGGTTTGGAACCACAGCACCCTTCTGTGGAGAGTGTCCCGGACCAAGCGGGAGGGGCTGGACCCCTTAGGGAGCTCCTGGAACTGAGCCTCGCTGTTCCGGTTTTCATGCAGCTGGAACCATACATGGATGAGAACTTCATCTCTAGAGCCTTTGCCACCATGGGGGAGACCGTGATGAGCGTCAAAATTATCCGAAACCGCCTCACTGGGTACATGTCCCTTTCACCTCTCCAGTCCTCCAGAGAGCCTACCCTTGCTGGCTGTCATGCCAGAGGACAACCATCGCTGGGATCCGGGCTTCTCGCCTGGTAGTGGTCCTCATCCCACAGTACCGCAAAAGGAACACGGGGTTGGGGTGGACGCTTACTGAGGCAGAAACAGCTTTCAGGTCTTAGTGTCCCAGTGTTTCAGGACAGGATGCTGGAACCTGCGTTTGAAAACTGTTATTTGATCTTTGGTAGATCACTTGTTTGCTTCATGTAGCTTTGTTTTATTTTGAAACTTTTTTTCGAGACAGGGTTTCTCTGTGTAGCCTTGGCTGACCTGGAACTCGCTCTGTAAACCAGGCTGGCCTCGAACTCAGCAGTGCAGAACTCTGAACTGCTGAACTCAGCTCCCCTTTGTTGACCTGAGTTGGAGATCCTGGACCTATGATACATTGTATAGACTTTTCAGATAATTAAGCTGGTTTAGTGGCACAGGCCTTTAATCCCAGCACTTGGAAGGCCAGAACAGCCCAAGCTAAATAGAGAAACCCTTTCTCAAAAAGCCAAACAGGAAAGAAACCACAAATAATTCTCAGATAATTAATACAAATGTTAAAGAATGCCCATCCGTGCCACCTCAGGCTCTCTGTCATTGGACAGGACGGAAATAATTTCAGTTTACCTCAACTGATTTTAAGGATGCTGTCCTCCCGGAGTATTCATGTCGGAGTTGTTCTGAGACCCCTACAGAGACCCAAACCCCTATTTAGCCGGGCGATGGTGGCGCACGCCTTTAATCCCAGCACTCGGGAGGCAGAGGCAGGCAGATATCTGCGAGTTCGAGACCAGCCTGGTCTACAGAGCTAGTTCCAGGACAGACTCCAAAGCCACAGAGAAACCCTGTCTCGAAAAACCAAAAAAAAAAAAAAAAACAAACCCCTATTTATCCTCCTGTATACTGCCAGTGCCTCTAGACGACAATACTAACACAGTGTACAGATAAAACTGTATTGTCTAGGCCAGCGGTTCTCAGCCTTCCTAATGCTCCAACAGTTCTTCATGTTGTGGTGACCCCCAACCATAAAATTTTGCTACTTCATAATTGTAATTTTTCTACTGTTATGAATAATATATGAATCTGATATATAAGCTATCTGACCCCTGTGGATGGTTAGTAAATAGTTCAGGGACTATCCACATTCGCTGTCCTTGAATTAAATTTGCAAGTTGTTTCTCATCTGGAATATGGGGTGGAATAATAATCGAGGCTCTGTTTGTGGTGTGGCACATGCCTTGTAACCCCAGCACTTGAGAGGCAGTGGCAGACCCATCTCTATGACTTTGAGGCTAGCCTGGTCTACAGAGTAAGTTCCAGGACAGCCAAAGCTACATAGTCTTAATAAAAAGGAAAAAAAGAAAAGAAAACCATTTTTCCTCTCTTCAGGCCAAGATGTACCTGGATATCTTTATCATTCTGTTTCTCTGCTTTCTTTCCAGAATCCCAGCTGGCTACTGCTTTGTGGAATTTGCAGATTTGGCCACAGCTGAGAAGTGTTTGCATAAAATTAATGGAAAGCCCCTGCCAGGAGCCACACCTGTAAGGACATTTGGATGATGATGACCTTGCCATTTTTATTGTCCTTAATTACCACCACATATTGAATTGCTACTGGATAGTTATATCATTTTCTACAATAGGTAGTGTTATCTTTCTCAACCAGGAAACTGAAGCAGGGAGATACAATGATTTGCTGAAGGCAATACAGGTAGTTAGTAACAGAGCCAAGATTCAGGCAGAAGATTGATTGCCTACAAAACCCTGGCCCTTTCCACTCTGCAGTACTGTCTTCTATGACAGAAGACTCGAAAATCGGGCTGGGGGTGTAGCTCGGTGGTAGAGTACTTACCTAGCATGCCCAAGACCCTGGGCTCAATCCCCAGCTAAAAATAAAGACTTGAAACTCTAGGTCTTTTGCCTGATTGAGAATCTAGAACAGGCTGGTAGCAGCAAGAACACATCTCAAGAGAGTTACATTCTGCTCTTCCCACAGTTACTTAGCTTACAGCTGTACCAGCTGGCACACCTGGGCTCATAGAACCATGGAGCTGGCAGTGCCCTTAACGGTCAACCGTGCAACCCCTTCATTTTATACAGGAGAAAAACTGAGGCTTAGAGAGGGGGAGATGTTTTGGCCAAGGTAATTTATTTCAGTTTTTTTTCAAATATTGTTTGACTTTTGAAAGACCCTTCTCTGTTTTAGTTTGTTCATGTGTTTTTACATTTCCAGGCAAAACGTTTTAAACTGAATTATGCCACTTACGGGAAACAACCAGACAATAGGTAAGTAAGGAGCTGCGTCATTGTATGTCTGAGTTGAGGCGCAGATGTCGTGGTGCCAGTTACTGCCAAAAGGAGGGTAGAGAACTGAATCTGACTGTAAAGATGGTATTCTCCTACTCCCTGGCCCCATCATGTCAGGGCCATGTCTTTCCTTCTTTGGATGTCTCTCTTTTTTTGGGGCGGGGGGGGCGGGGAGACATATCTCAGACTGGTCTCAAACTCACTGTGTAGTCATGGGTGACGTTAAAATTCGGATCCTCTACCTCCCAAGTGCTGTGATGAACACATACATGCCCAACCTTGAGTGTTTGAATGTTAGAGACACACCGTGCTGGTGATGGAGCCCAGAACTTTGGGCATGGAAGGCGTCTTTAGTCACTGTTGTACTGTGAAGAGAGAACATTTAACTGGATTCCTATGGTTTCAGAAGTTTAGTCTCTTATCGTCATGGTGGGGAGCATGGCAGAAGGCATTGCAGCCTGGTGCTAGAGAAGTAAATGAGAGAGAGATCAGGTATGGCATGGGGTTTTGAAACCTTAAAACCCACCCCCAGTTGCACACTTCCTTCAACAAGATCAAAACTAATCCTTTTAATCCTATCTAAGCATTCTAATATATGAGCCTATTGGGACCATTCTTAGTCCAGCCCCTTTATTCAAACGTACAACAGAAGGCAAGAACTCTTTTTTTTTTTTTTTTTTTTTTTTTTGGTTTTTCGAGACAGGGTTTCTCTGTGGTTTTGGAGCCTGTCCTGGAACTAGCTCTTGTAGACCAGGCTGGTCTCGAACTCACAGAGATCCGCCTGCCTCTGCCTCCCAAGTGCTGGGATTAAAGGCGTGCGCCACCACCGCCCGGCTAAGGCAAGAACTCTTATCTTGAGCTCTGACTATTTATTTTTTGTTTTATTGAAACGAGTTCTCATTCTGTAGCCCACACTTATCTAGAATTCACTAGGTTGCCAAGGTTGGCCTCAACTCACTATGCCTCATGGTGCCTAAGATTATAGGTGTGTGCTACCATGCCTAGCGAGGCAATGTAAGATTATAGGTGTGGGGCTGGAGAGATGGCTCGAGGTTGAGAGCACTGATTGCTCTTCAGAGTTCCTGAGTTCAATTCTCAGGGACCACATGGTGCCTCACAACCACCTATAATTAGGTCTGGTGCCCTTTTCTGACATGCCAGCAGAACAGTGTACATAATAAATAAATAAATCTTTTAAAAAAATTATAGGTGTGTGCCACCATGCCTGGTGAGGCCCTGTCCGTCCCCCCCTCCCCCGACCTTCCACCCTGTTAATTTTCCAGGTTTTGAGGTTTTATTCAGTAAGGATCTATTTACTATAACAATGTGAAACCAGGCGGTGGTAGTGAATGCCTTTAATCCCAGCACTCAGGAGGCAGAGGCAGATGAATCTCTGAATTCGAGGCCACCCTGTCTACAAGAGCTAGTGCCAGTACAGGTGCCAAGCTACAGAGAAATGCTGTCTCAAGGGAGGGAAGGATGGATGGAAGGAAGGAAGGTGTGAGTTGATTATCATCTCCAGTGACTGTCTAGAAGTATTTGGCTGCTGTGTTAAAGATTTACAGTCTGGGCTAGAATAGACAAATTCCAGTTTTGCATTTCCACATTGGAAGCAATCCTGCCAGTTTCACAGAGTTTCTAATTTCGCAATGGTTCTTCAGCTTCATCTCAGGCTATAAAGACAGCGCTGTGGTCAGGTCGGCAGCACCCTGTCGTCCCAGCTCTCAGCACTCAGGAGGTAGAGATAGGAGGAACGTGGCAAGTTGGAAGTCATCCTGCTCTGCACACTGAGTTCTCAGATAGCCGGAGCTACAGAGTGAGAAGCTTATCTAACAAAAACCTTGAGTTGCTCTGCTTAGTCCTCAGTGGTTTTGGAAAGTTTTAGGACAGTGTCTTAGAAGCTTTACCAAGCTTGTTATCTCGTGACCCGGTAATTCCATTCTCCAGAATTTACTCATGGATGTGTGCGGGGTGTAATCTCCTAAATGCTCATTAAAGCGTACATGTGAGGAGAAACGTTGAGGAGAATCCCAGATAGCCTTATAATACAGAAATGGCTGGCTATAATATGTTCATTTGTTAGAATCCTCACAAGACATGTTGCAGAGTCCTGATGTCATGGTGTTGGCAATATGGCTGTGTTGCTTAGACTTACCTCAGACTCCTGCTGTAGCCTCTTGAATAGCTGAGATTTACTGGTGAGCATCACTGCACCCAGTTTGGGCAATATATGAGAACCTAAGATGGCAGAAGTAAAACATGGTGGGTCACACTGAAGTGTTGTAGATGAAATGACAGGGACATAGCTCACTAGACAGTGTCTGTGCAGGGAGCCTTGGGCTCAATCCTCAGCACCAAATAAAATGTCATAGAGACTTGTCTGTGATCCTGGCACATGGGAGGTAGAAGCAGGTAATTCCGAAGTATAGAAGGAAGTTTTTGTCCCACCTGGTCCTGCAGCTATTCAGTCCCAAATAACCACACAGGGGCTTATATTTATAAACTGTTTGGCCTATTGCTCAAGCTTATTATTAACTAACTCCTACACATAAATTAGCCCATATTTCTTTTTTTTTTTTTTTTTTTTTTTTTTTAGTTTTTCGAGACAGGGTTTCACTGTGGTTTTGGAGCCTGTCCTGGAACTAGCTCTTGTAGACCAGGCTGGCCTCGAACTCACAGAGATCCGCCTGCCTCTGCCTCCCAAGTGCTGGGATTAAAGGCGTGCGCCACCACCGCCCGGCAGCCCATATTTCTTATCTATGTTTAGCCATGTGGCATGGTTCCTTTGCTCAGTAAGGCATTCTCATCTTCCTTCCTCTGTGTCTTGCTGGCGACTGCCTGCCTTTGCTCTTCCCAGAAATCTTTTAGTCTGTTTGCCTCACCTATACTTCCTGGCCAAACAGCATTTTATTAAACTAATATGAGTGACAAATCTTTACAGTGTACAAGAATATTATCCCACAGCATTCCCCCCTTTTTAAAAGATTTATTTATTATGTGTACAACATTCTGTCTGCCAGAAGAAGGCACCAGATCTCATTGTAGATGGCTGTGAGCCACCATGTGGTTGCTGGGAATTGAACTCAGGACCTCTGGAAGAGCAGTCAGTGCTCTTAACCCTCTGAGCCATCTCTCCAGCTTCCTGTCTAGTTTCTTAAAACAAAACCAAACATAAAAACTCCTGGCCAGACATTGTGGCATGCGCCTTTAATCCTAACACTTCAGAAGGCATAGGCAGGTGAATCTCTGTGAGTTTGAGGCCAAACTGGTCTAAACAGTGAGTTCCACGACAGCCAGGGTTGTTACACAGAGAAGCCCTGTCTCGAAAAACAAAACAAAAACCTCCTTGGAGATACCTCTTATCTAGCCCCTCACCTGTTCTGTCTCTCCTGTTCTCTCCCTCTCTATATTTTTTGAGACAAGGTTTCAGTGTGTAGCCTTGGCTGGCCTGAAACTTACTAGGTAGACTAGTCTAGCCTGGAACTCAGAGAGAGAGACCTACCTCTGCCTCCTAACTGCTGTGATTAAAGGAGTGCTTCATCCTTCCCCTCCCCAAGATAAGGTTTCTCTGTGTAGCCCTGGCTGTCATGGAATTTGCTCTGCAGAATAGGCTGGCCTCAAACTTAGAGATCCATCTGCCTCTGCTTCTGCCTCCTGAGTGCATGCATGCCCCACCACACCCAGCCCTGTACTCTCTTGATGCTTTAAGTCAGATAGGTTTTGTGTAGTGTCTGCTGACCTCAGAGCAGGGAGCTATTTCTGTAATCTTTTGCAGAAGTATAATGAACTATAGTTCTAGACTGACTAAGCCTCACATGCATGAGACACTGGGTTTGAGTCTAGGCAGTAGAGTGGGGTATCTGATTAAGTGGGCACATCAGATTTAGTGTTTCTGAGAAGCCCCTAGAGGCTTAACCGAACTGTGCCCTTACTCAATATGTGTCCCTATAATTCCTTCACTCAGAAGGCTTAGGCAGGAGGATTGCTGGGAGTTTGAAACCAGCCTGGGCTCTGTGGCAAAACCTTTTGTCTTAAAAAAGACGAAGGGAGAAAGAAAGATTCCAGAAACTCACAGCAGGGTTTTGATATTTTTCTTGCTGACTCTTCTCTCCTCTCAGCCCTGAGTACTCCCTCTTTGTCGGGGACCTGACCCCAGACGTGGATGATGGCATGCTGTATGAGTTCTTTGTCAAAGTCTACCCCTCCTGTCGGGGAGGCAAGGTGGTTTTGGACCAGACAGGCGTGTCTAAGTAAGGCCTTACTGCTATTTATGTTTACTTTGTTCAGCATTCTTACCTTCTGGGGGGACGGATCAGAGACACCAAGGAGGGTGGTGGCCCAGAGTGCAGGCTTTCAAGCTTAGCTTCATCACTGACGAGGGAATGTGTACTAGACAAGTTACAGATTCTCACTATTTCCTAATCTATAAATTGAAGCAATATTATATGATTGACATAAGGATTGGAGGAACTATGAATAGCTGGGTTTTGTATTTATTTCTGTTAATAAGGCTTTCTGTGTAGTTAAAAATGCTATTCTTTAGCCTAGTGTGGCCCTGCACTCCTATATTCCCAGAACTTGGGTAGTGGATGCAGGAGGATCAGAAAATCAAGGCCATTCATCTTTTATGAATATATAGTGAGTTCAAGGCCAGCCTGGGCTACACAAGGGTCTCTGTTTTTGTTTTTCAAGACAGAGTTTCTCCGTGTAGCCCTGGCTGTCCTTGAACTCTCTCTGTAGACCAGGTTGGCCTCTAACTCAGAGATTCACCTGCCTCTGCCTCCCCGGTGCTGAGATTAATGGCGTGCACCACCACTGCCCGGCTGAGACTTTCTTAATGCTCACCTGTCCACCCCCACAAAAGAAAAGAAAAAGGAGGGTTAAGTTTTCCATTTTAAAATGGAGAGACCTGTCAACACTTGGAAGGTGAAAGCTAAGGATTTTGAACTCAAGCCAGCCTGAGCTACACAGCAAGACCCTACCTCAAACAAAACAAGAAAAATGAAGCTAGACTTTTTGGCACAGGTCTATAATCCCAACTGCCCAGCTGAGGTAGCAAGATTGCAAATTCAGGGTTTTTGTGTGCTGTGCAGTGAGTTTAAGACCAGTGTAGGCAACTTAGCAAAACCCTGCCTCAAAAAAATAAAGTCCATAACCTGGTGTACAGAGCAAGTTCCAGGAGAGATGCAGGGCTACACAGAGTAACCTTGTCTTAAAAAAACAGACAAACAGTCAAGGGGGCTAGGGATATGGCTCAGTAGTTAACAGCACTAGTCATTTTTCCAGAGGACCTGGGTTCAATTCCCAGCCCCTCATGACAGTTCACAAGTATCTGTAACTCCAGTTCTAGGGGATCTGACACCTTCATACGGACACAGGCAAAAACATCAGTGCTCCTGAAATAAAAATAATTAAAAAAATAAAAATAGATACAACCAAATACTAAGATGTATCTAAGTAACCAATACTTGGGTTAGCATGCACAAGGTTCCGAGTTTGGTTTCCCCACTCAAAAGAAAAGAAGGTACTTTTTTTTTTTTTTACAATTCTTTGCTGTGCCTGGGATTGAACCCAGCCATATCCCACCATTCCAAGAAAGGCTTGTTCTTTTTGTATTTGTACTAGATGTTACACCCAGGTACTTAGTGTACTAAGCTAATGCCCTACCACAGAGCCACTTCCTCAGTCCTGACTCCCACCCCCCTATTTCCCCATATGGTCGTGGCTGGCTTCAAACTCACAGTTCTCCATGCTCAGCTTCCCTAGTACCAGAATTACAGGCATGTGCCACCACCAGCAGCTTATTCTTCATCAGTTAAGTCATTTTACTCTGGCTTTAGGAGTTAAGTCTGCTTCTGTTGTGTGTGACTCTGAGCTAGTTATCAACCCTCTCTGAACTTTGGCTGCTCTTTAGTGCTGTGTGTGTAGTACTCCGTGTGATGGGGTAACCTTGAAAGTGTCCTCAGCACCTTGTCCAGCAGATAGTACACACTGTTAATTGTAGATGTCATGAGCAGTCTCTAAGTTGTTTTGACCTCAAGGAACAGGAACCAGGTCTGTCTGTAACTGCTTCCCGACATGCCTGATACAACCCTGCAGGAGTCTGAAAAGTCTGCAGGGCAAACTTCACCTGTCCCCACAACTACACGCACGGTGCTAATAATGTTGCCTTCCCCTCGTTTGGGAAGGAGCCCCTGGATGAAGAGCATGGGGGCTGAACTGAAAGGAGGAGTTCCCACAAGTGTCAGGATCATACTGTGTGACCGTCCTGCCCTCTGGGTTTGACTCACTCTCCCTTTCTGGCCCTTTCCCTTTGTGCTCCAGCCCACCTCTTTTTCTACCCCCTTTTCCATGTTTCCTCTTGTAGGCTTCATCACTTTTGTGGTCTAAGTTGCGTGTTTTTTTTTTTTTCTCCCTCTAGGGGCTATGGTTTTGTGAAATTCACAGATGAATTGGAACAGAAGCGAGCCTTGACGGAGTGCCAGGGAGCAGTGGGACTGGGGTCTAAACCTGTGCGGCTGAGTGTGGCCATCCCTAAAGCGTGAGTTCCGCAGAGAGCGTAGGCCTGGACTAGCTAGCTTGCCCTGGGCCCTCTTTGGCTGTTTGCTGAGTCAGGACATCCATATGTGCAACACACGTCTGCAGAGAGGCAGATGTCACAGATACTATATGCTTTGGCCAGGCTTGGTGTGGAGGATGAACTAGCGTAGCCACACACCCTGGGAGCTAATAGCCGAGGGGTCAGACATTGAGAGCAGCAGTAGGGAAAGATGTTTTGTTCCATATCTTTACTCTTTGGCCAGGTGCTGCTGTTGGGAAATTATCTATAGGGTTTGTTAAAATTAAAAAAAAAATTCTAACCAGTGTCTGAAATACTGTGTATCTCAGGGCTGAAAAAGCTCTTGGAAATCCATGGTTTGTTTTGTTTTGTTTTGATAGACAAGGTCTCTATGGTTACACCTAGCTTTGTTGTTTTGTTCTTTGAGACAGGGTCTTACTATCTCTATTCTTGGCTTGCCTGGAACTCACAGAGACCCACCTGCCTCTGCCTCCAAGTGCTAGCATTAAAGGTGTATGCCATCACTCCTGGTCCAAGTGACATGTCTATCCTTCAGCCAATGCAGTATTTCTCAGCAGATAGAGATTTCACTCACTAGGAGGCATTGGTGGCATCTGGATATATTTTGGGGTATTACAACGTACTAGTGGCATCCAGGAGGTTTTAGTGAGGGGTGCTGCTCCAGATGCTTCACTGCACCAGGCAGCCCTATAGCTGTGAATTAGGTGGTACAACCCTACCACTGGCAGAAGTAACAGGGCCAGCCTGGTCTACAGAAGGACTACCAGGATAGGTTCCAAAGCTACAGAGAAACCCGGTCTCAAAAAACCATAAACAAACAGATGTAACAGGGTCCAAGATATCTTGACCACAAAGTACAAGGGCTGCCAAACTTCAGGAGATACCTTCCCAATGGTCGTTTTGAAACAACAGAGACTTGAATGTTTGACAGGATTTCACCATGTAGCCCTGGCTGGTTTAGAACTTGCTGAGCAGAACAAGCTAGCCTCAAACACAGAGATCTGTTTGTCTCTGCCTCCCAAGTGATTGATGGGATTAAAGCAAAGAAAGATTGTTTTGGGTTTTTTTGTTTGTTTTTGAGACAGGGTTTCTTTGTGTAATCCTGGCTGTCCTGGAATTAGCTCTTGTAGATCAGGCTGACCTCGAACTCACAGAGATCTTCTTGCCTCTGCCTCCTGAGTGCTGGGATTAAAGGTGTGCACCACCACTGCCTGGCAGAAAGATTGTTTTTAAAGAAAGTAACAGGTCCGGAGAGATGGCTTACTGGCTAAATAGCCCTTTCTGCTCCTTCAGAAGACCTGAGTTTAGCTTCCAACACCCACTTTAGACAGCTCACAGCCACCTATGACTTTAGCTCTTGGGCTCTGATACTTTTCTTCTGCCCTCCTTTCGCATATCCCCACACAGAAACATACACATAAATAAAAACCTTTAAAAATCATAATTTCATTATTCTAAATTGGCTGTAATGCCGTGAGTGGTGCCACACACCTGTAATTCCAGGACTCAGGCAGTTGAGACAGGATCAGAGTTCCAGGTCAGCATTGCAAAACCATGTGGAGTAAACAAGCAAACTAAAATTTTAAAAAGCAATTTTCATACCTCAGTCCCTTGTTCATAAACTATAAATTAAGGGGGCTGGAGAGACAGCTCAGAGGTTAAGAGCACTTCCTGCTCTTCCAAAGATCCTGAGTTCAGTTCCCAGTAGCCACATGGCGGGTCACAACCATCTGTAATGAGATCTGGTGCTATCTTCAGGCCTTCAGGCTTACATGTAGACAGAGTACTGAGAATACTGTATACATAATAAATAAATAAATCTTTAAATAAATAAATAAATAAACTAAATTGAGTCAATTTACATGTGGTAGGATTTATTTCTCTTCTAATTATGGGATTTAAATCCAGAATCTTACACTCTGTTTTGAATTTCATAAGTAATATTCATTTTCCCCCTCAGCTTATTCCATATTCATGCTTTTCCATGTAGCTGTACAGTTTTATGTGTGTGGTTTTGCTTACCTTTTGGTGGGAGTGGGGGTGCTGAGACTTCACCAATGCTAAGCACAGGTTCTACGACTGATGTATGCTCCTGTCTGATTTTATCTTAGATTATACTACAGCATATTCTTTTATATATATGTTCTGTTCAACAATTCCTCTGTTGTTGATCATTTTGACTGTTTCTGGTGTATTCCTGTTTGTTTGATAATTAGACTCGGGCAATATAGCTGTAAGCAGGAACCAAGGCCCATCTGCAAACTTGTGATTTGTTCTGTCTATTCCACACTGAACACAGTTGTTAGTAATCAGTGCCCACCCCTGAGGAGGTGCTCTCAGACCCTTGGGATAAGGAGAACTTCACTGTAATGCATAGGTGTCTGAAGGAAACACAACCAACCCCGTCCAGGAAGATGCACTCAGTTACTGTCGACAGAGTGATGGATACCCATAGATTCATTAAGGAGGGGTCAAAGGGGTGAATATTAGGTATGCCCAGCCCAGCACTTGGCAAGTAGGACTATCTGCCTATCGCCTTCAGCGAAGCGTCCTGGGCTAGAGCTAGGTGCTTTGGTGTTCAGCACTTGGATTTGCTTAGCACTAACTGAGTCCCTTTCACTAAGCAAGAGCTTGAAAGCGCTCAGTCAAGTGTTGCAGCCTTTGCAGTGCCTGGTATTCTCAGCTCCTGCTAACAGCTATTTCCTATCTGGGTTGATAAGCATAGCAATGGAATATACCAGTCATGAGGGCAGAAGTCACTGTCCTCTTGAGTCCGCCAACTGCATGGTGGAGTCAGCCTCTGGCCCTTGCATGTTTTTGGTATCATAGGACATTCTTAGCTCAAATTCATGAGTGGAAACCCCTTGTCATGTGCTTGAGCTTCTCCACACATGGTTTTTGTGTCTTTGAAAGCAGTGAAGCCTTTGTAGATTTGTGGATTTGGCAGTCTATCTTTGGTTGGAGTGGCGGTGGTTACAGTATGGTAAAAAGGAAGCTTCCCTGGTGGATTCTTCGGAATGTGAGAGTTAAATCTAGACCCGGCCTAGTGACTTGTCTTTGCTTTTCTTGTTTTGTTTTCTCCAGACCTGGTTTCTCTGTTTAGCTTTGGTGCCTGTCTTGGAACTAGCTCTTGTAGACCAGGTGGGCCTTGAACTCAAAGAGATCCACCTGCCTCTGCCTCCCTAGTGCTGGGAATAAAAGCATGTACCACTACTGCCCAGCTTAAAAATTTTTTTAAAGATTGATTTATTATGTATACAATGTTCTGCCTGCATGTATGCCTTCATGCCAGAAGAGGGCACCAGATCTCATTATAGATGGTTATGAGCTACCATGTGATTGCTGGGAATTGAACTCAGGACCTCTGGAAGAGCAGAAAGCGCTTTTAACCACTGAGCCATCTCTACAACCACTGGATATTTTATTTTTTTATTTTACATGCATTGGTGTTTTGCCTACCTGCATGTATGTATGTGTGTGTGAGGGTGTATAGCACCTGGAACTGGAATTACAGACAGTTGTGAGCTGCCATGTGATGCTGGAAATTGAACCAGAATCCTCTGGAAGAACAGTGCTCTAACTGCTGGCAATCTCTCCAGCCCCATAAGGCCCGATTTCTTATATTTTCCTGAGCTTTTGCAACTGTCAGAGAACAGAGCCCCCCCAAGATCCTGAGAATGGGACTGGAGAGATGGCTCAGAGGTTAAGAGCATTGAGCTGCTCTTCAGAGGTCCTGAGTTCAATTCTGAGTACCCACCTGGAGGCTCACAACCATCTATAATGAGATCTAATGCCTCTTCTGGTATGCACACATACATGCAAACAAAACTCCCATATACATAAACAAATCTTTAAAAAAAATTGGGAGGGGGATCTTGAAGGCAGACAACCTGAGCAAAGAAAGGCTTGTATCCTAAGAGCGTGGGTTCTGCAGGCAAACTGTCTGGGTTTATGTTTGTGCCTTAGTCTTGTGACCCTGGACCAGACACTTAAATGCTCTGTCCTAGCCTTCATCCTACAGCAGGGATGGGGATACGGAGTGTGGAGGCAGCCGGAGGGAACCCTCCCAGAGCACTTAGTGCAGTCCATGGTCAAGGGAAATCCTCTTACATCTGATTTTGTTCCCCGTAAGGAGCCGTGTAAAGCCAGTTGAGTACAGCCAGATGTACAGTTACAGCTACAACCAGTATTACCAGCAGTACCAGAACTACTATGCCCAGTGGGGCTACGACCAGAACACAGGCAGCTACAGCTACAGCTACCCGCAGTATGGCTACACACAGAGCACCATGCAGGTAACACATTCGGAAACTCTTGGGTCTCATTTCCCCTCCAGGGACCACCATTTTCTACAGTGAAGTTGGTAGCGGGTTGGGGTTTTGAAAAGTGGGGAAGGCTAGTGAGACCTAGCTCTATTTGTCAAAAGTCAGCCAGAATTTTCTCAGGCTCCTCATCAGTCCTCTCCTCTCTTGACAGACATATGAAGAGGTTGGGGATGATGCCCTGGAAGGTAAGAGTCCCTTCAAATTCCTGGTAGTTGTTTCAAGTACCAGCTGTGGGCCCTCAACTAGATGTAGCTGTGGAGTTGGAGCCTGTCCTGGAACTCACTCTGCAGACCAGACTGGATTCGAACTCAGAGATCCGCCTGTCTCTGCCTCCTGAGTGCTGGGACTAAAGGTGTGCATCACCACAGCCTGGCGAGAATGTGTCTGCTTTCTAGTGGTGTGGACACACCCATGATTGCCAGGTTCTGCCTGTTATAATGAAATGAGTGCTGCGCCCAGGGAGCTTGTTACTTCCAAGCTGTGGCCAGACAGCACCACACAGTGCACCTCCTGGAGAGATACTTTACTGTGGGCTTCTCTTTGTGAACATCTTTCATGGTCAACATGGTAAAGCACTTCTGTAGTCTCCTGTCTGGGGCACAATTGTGTTTGAGATTTACCTGGACTGCAGACCGTCTCAACACCCAGGTCTGTTACGGGTCTTTAGACATTCTCAGTATTTCCGTGCAGGTGGAGTTACTCATGATCCATCTGCCTCCACTTCCCAAGAGTGAGGCTATAGGGATGCCACCACACCTTGAAAATGGATGTGATTTCTGAAAGAGACAGAACTAAGTCCCCAATTCATGTGACCAGGCATTTCATCAGACATTGGTTTAGTTCTTAAGGTAACACTTTGGATTGATTCATTAACTTAAATGTTTTCCAAACCCACATTTTAAATCTGAGCAGAACAGAAAATCTAAGACAGATGTAGCGTTGTAAACTGGAAGGAGAACCTGGCTGCTGTCACATGGTCCAAATTACAGTGATTTCCATCTTCGATACCCACTCTAAGATGCCCGGAGGCAGGAGCCTGAGCGCTCCTTCCAGGTGGTTCTTTTGGCCTGCTTGATCTTGTCCTTTCTTTTTCCTGCAGACCCAGCGCCACAGCTGGATGTGACTGAGGCCAACAAGGAGTTCATGGAACAAAGTGAGGAACTGTATGATGCACTGATGGACTGTCACTGGCAGCCCCTGGACACTGTGTCTTCAGAGATCCCTGCCGTGTTGTAGCCACGACATAAGGATCTGGGCTTTTTTTTTTTTTTTTTTTTTTTTGTGAAGCTTTTATCTTTTTGAAAATGATTTACAAGATTTTAATAATTTACTGTTTTCTGAGATTGTGAGCCACTCCACTTGTTATTTGTTATTAAGCCGTAGTGAAAGACATGGAATTGTTCTAACAGGAGCTTGGTAGATCACGTGACATTTTTAAGACCCTTAGCTGGAGTACTCGAGAGAAGTTGCTTGGTGGCCAAGAGCACTTACTGTTCTCCCAGAGGACCAAGTTCTGTTTCCAAGTCAGGCAGCTCTGCTACCCTGCATGAGACTCCAACTGCAAAGAACCCGAACATCCACTTCTGTAGATACCCACAAACACATCTAGATACTGCCCAGATCATTATGGCACAGGCTTGATGCTTCTGATTGCCTACCAGTTTTCCTAGTAAAACAGGTAATTGTAGTGTAAACCTGCAGCCTCTGCCATGAATGGCAGAATCAAGACTAAAGCCAGCTAGGTAGTCCAACACAGGTTAAAACCTGGTTTTAGAGGCTTTTCTGATTCTGGGATGTTTGTAAACATGTTTTTCAGACTGTTTCTCTGAATCTCTACCTGTCCTGGAATTAGTTCTCCAAGGCCAGCCTTGAGATCCGCCCACCCCACCATGCCATAGCTACATATAGTACTTTGTGTACCAATGGTTAGGCAACTGATTTGAATGGCTCCCAGATTGAATAATTGGTCAAAGACTTTTGCAAGGATAGGTATGGATGTTCTGAAGTTTCAAGTCTCCTATTACAACTTGCTAGTAGGAAAGTACTGGCACAGGGCGATCCCTGTGTGCTACCGTGCATCTACTCTGCCTACAGTATGGCATGGCACCCTGACATTAAGTTAAGCCCAAGGCAGTGTGTTTTACTGGGACCTTTACAGTCCCCATCACTAGCAACCATGGTACATTACTCAGAGCAAGACAAGGACTTTCCTTTTGCTATTTCACCTGGCTTCTAGTGAGCTTGAGCACGACCAAATTAGCACAACTGACAGGGACACATTTTGGGGAGTGGGGAGCCATGTAAATCAACCTCTGCAGTCTCAAGAAACCAGTCCCTAGGACATGGACTCCCAACTAAAGAGGGGTTGAAGATTTCAGTTGCTGTCCTGGGTTCAGTGGGCAACATTCATTCACTTTCAGACACCGAATTTTGTTTAATCATTTTATTTTATTTTTTTTTTATTTTCGGTTTTTTGAGACAGGGTTTCTCTGTGGTTTTGTTTAATCATTTTAAATTACAGAGAAAATACTTTTAAAAGTCTTTATTGACCTGATTACATGTTAAATCCCAAAGAATTTCACTTCTTTTTTTCAAGACATGGTTTCTCTTTGTATCCTTTACTGTCAGTGTAGGCTTCTTGCTTGCTTCCAGGGAAGTCCTCTTGTTTTTTTTTTCTGAAAAGGAAGTGTAAGTCTGTGTTAGTTCTGACCTCAGGCTCACTCCCCAGACCTCAGCCTTTTCCTAAGAACTGGTCTCAGTCCCATATCCGCATTTCTCATCCATAGATGTCCACTCAGATTAGGTTTCATCCTAGACCAGTGTTTGAGCTCCCTGCATACTCCCTCACAATCCATCTCCCCATCTGCAGGGGGAGTGGATGATATAAGCGCATGGCTGCTTAGCAGAATGCACTCATGGCCCTCAGTGGGCAAATACCAGCAAAGTCAAAGACAAGCAAGCACCTTTGTCCCGAAATGTGAGCAGCTAATGCAGCACACAGGCCAGACATGAATTACTAAAATGCTGAATTTTTACACACTTGAGCAACCTTCTGCTGTACTACTTAGGGACAGAGTGCATAACAGCCCTTAACTTACCCAACAAACTGTAGAGATCATAAATGATGACCCCTTCACTGGTTACATGGTCCTAAAAGAATAAATAAATCATTAGACACACAGGCACAATGCTACAGCTGTCCAGATACATATATAATTCTCAGGCTGTCCCATTTTACAAGAGCCAAGGCATGTATGAATCTGACCCAATGCTCTATAGCAGACTATATTGCTGTGAGGCCAGCTTCAGTCTGCTCTTCCTCCTTTACGACCACCAAGACCAGTGTCAAGATCTGATGGGAAAGGGAACCGGAGGGTAAGGCTGTCTGTGTCAGACAACACCTTTACCTTAGTGACTGGGCAGAGGCATACAGGCTGACGTCCCCAATTAAAAGCCTTGAGAAGAACCTGCAGAAGGGAAAGCTTTGTTGTGAATGTCCACGGAAACAACACTGTCCCAGGTAGCAACCCCAGGAACAACATGTATAGGAAAGTCGAGTGGCAGCTGCAGGCACTGTGCTGGCCTGGGCTGTCAAAGTCTCTCCAGTTACTCTGGCATGCAGTTGGAGACCCCATGGCTACCACCAGCCACAGCCCTTGGAAACATGCTGTACCTCTCACCAGATCTCGGCTAACACCGCCACACTTACCAGGCCCTAGTGCTGCACAGCATCAGTCCCATCTGTCTTCATGGAGGCTCCATCCGGAACAGCTAAGATGAACGGCAACAATTATCCACGTATCCTATAGTGTCCTGCACCTGGTCACCCAATGGCCTTCTCTTACAGGGAATGTGACCCATGACGTGGCCATGTACCAGCCAATGTTTGACAGGTGAACACACTTGAAACTGCCCTTGTATGTTCTTAGGTTCAGCAAACTACTTCCAAAAGTACCATTCTAACTCCACACATTGAAGACAACATTCTTGTTGGCTTGTAGCATACTTATGCTGATGCTCATGAAGACTTCTATATACTTCTGAGAAATCACAAGGTGGAGCTGTCTTTTCCCAAAATGTTGCAGATCTGTTACTGTAAACAGAACCGCGACCGTCAAGGAAAACTTTTTCTCTGGGCCTCTTTTTGACCACAGCAGCTATGTAGAAGCGGCTGCAGCTTCGATAAGGGCCACGGATGCGGGTTACAATACCTCACACCCACAAACCACCTGGTTCACAAAATCCTAAGTTACAGCTTTGACTACTATACACTTAAAAGAAAATCTATGAGCTCGAAAGGCCAAAAGTTCAACACATGAAGTCACATTGGGGTAGGTTCTTGATTATAACGCAGCCCGTAACTCTTTTAACTCCCTGTCTCCAGCCTCACACACACACACACAAAAGGTATTAAGTAATTTATACCAGATGTCAGGCTTCAGTTTAAAATGGCCGCTTATGCAATCAGAAAGCGACAAAGTGGAGGTCTTAAACTCCTCCCAAAAAAATTTCTTAAAGGCTTGAGGGCTATGGATGAGATATGGTTCACCTAGCACGTGCCGGAATCCAAAGTTTCGGCCGCAACTTCCGTAACCACTAGGGTAACTCCAAAAACCAGGAGACAGGTTAAGTCGCCAAAGGTCACAGCCTCTTCAGTTGGCGTCATCCCAATAACGTCATCGCACCCAAGCACTTATCCCCTCAGCCCGCAAATGCTGTTACCACCACGCCAATGGCCTAAGTCACTCACCCGTCAAAGGGCGCGGTATGCAGGCCGCTGACTACCACTACGCGAGCCGCCATCGTGGCCGCCTTGTTGGCCTCCACCGCCGAGACGGAGAAGGCCGGCTTCTCCGCGGCAGGTTCTGCATCCCGCAGTCTTGGGCGCAGCAACCGGAGAAAACGTCCCGAGAGCGGCGAGTTGTGGAGGTGAGGAGGACGAAGTACATAACGACAACATACAAAGAACACGGCTGGAGCAGGAAGAAAGGACGATATGCGGCCCGCAGCCATCTTATATATGCTCGCGCCCACGGACGCGCTTGCGCACTCTGCCTGCCGCATCGGCCCTCTGGGAAATGTAGTCCAGGCACACTCGGGACCCTGTCCTGAGCCCGCCGAGCCTGGCCACAGCCAATGCAGATTAAGTCTTTGAATTAATACGGATTTTAGAAAAGGTTCTCCGCACCAGACAGTGCTGGCGCACGCGTTTAATCCCATCACTTGGCAGAGGCAGGCGGATCTCTGTGAGTTCGAGGCCAACCTGGCTCACGGAGTGAGTTCCAGGACAACCAAAGCAACACAGAGAAACCCTGTTTCGAAAAACCAAGCCAAAAAAAAAAAAGGTTCTTAGCTCTGAGAGTTGAGAATCTTGGGATGCCCCAGTGGTCAAAAGGTTTCTTGAGGGAGGCTATCGAGGATCCAGATAGATTTGTTATTTGTTCAAAACAAATATATAAATACCGTTTTCTGAACACCTGCTGTTTATGCTGGGCCGATTATTTCATTTCATTTTCATACAAAACTGTGTACTGGCTTCTTGATTTGCCCTTTGTACAGGAAACTGAAGAATGGATCTCAGCTAGCAAAGTAGAATACACTCAGAATGGCTCAAACATTCCAAGTCATGACCATGTGTTGTCTTTTGCTCATGGGATGAATGAATGAATGAATGAATGAGCCCCAACCTAAGAACATAAATGCACTGGGGGTGTAGCTCAGGTGGAGAAGGACATGAAGTCCTGGGTTTAATCCCTCTTGCCTCAGACCCTAGTCTGTAATCCCAGAACTGGGAAGGTGGAAGGAGGATTAAATGGGTAATATAAGGTTTGGTTGGTTGATTTTTTTGTTTATTTGTTTGTTTTGTTTTTGAGTTAGGGTTTTCTATTATGTAGCTCTGCCTGTCCTGAAATTTACTAGGTAGACCAGACTGGCCTTGAACTCACAAAGATCCACCCGCCTTTCCCTCTCAGTGCTGGAATTTGTTAAGATAAGTTCTGAGGCCAGTCAGGGCTACCTGAGGCCCTGACTCAAAGGAAACACACACACACACACACACACAGAAGCAGGTGGATCTCTGAGTTCCAGGCCAGCTTGGTCTACAGAGGAAGTTCCAGGACAGGCTCCAAAGCTATGCAGACAAACCTTGTTTCAAAGAAGAAGGAGAGGGGGAGAGGAGAAGAAGAAAAGTAAAAAATTGTTGCCAAGAATTAAGTAACTACTTTGTGGTGCCGTTACTTTGTAAATTTGTGTCCTTCCATTAATTTATTTATTCCATGAGGGGAAAGTAGTTTATTTAGTTTACATTTCCAGGCTCCTGTCATCACAGCCTGGCAGTCCCAGCGGCAGGGGCTTGAGGGCTGCTCACCTCACATCCACAGTAGGTTGGTGACTTTTTCTTGGTCGGATTTTTGCTTCTGTTTTTATACAGCATCTCACTAGTTTGCCCAGGCAGGCCTCAGTCTCCCAAGTAGCTCGGATTACAAGCCTATCACCAGGTCCCCTTTTCCCCCCTCCCTAATATTAGGGAGAATAGCATTGACTTTACTATCTACTGCCCCTAACTTTATCCTTCAGCTCCTATATACACTTCAAGGAACAGGTTTCAGCCTGTGGAGATGCCTCAATGAAAGTGTGAGGTCCACAGTGTGGATCCTAGCACCCACATAGCAAGCTAGGAATGTTAGCTTGTGGGGGTGTTTGTTTGTTTTAAAATTTATTTATTGCGAATATAGTGTTCTGTCTGCATTTTGCCCGCACACCAGAAGGGGCACCAGATCTCATTACAGATGGTTGTGAGCCACCATGTGGCTGCTGGGAATTGAACTCAGGACCTCTGGAAGAACAGTCACCTCTGAGTCACCTCACCAGCCCCTGTGTGTTTTTTGAGATAGGATCTCACTATGTAGTCCTGGCTGACCTGGAATTTGACATGTGGGCCAGCATGGGCTCGAACTCACAGAGACCCGCCTGCCTCTGCCTCCCAAGTGTTGAGATTAAAAACCTTTATTAAATGGAGGCTGAGGGGCTGGAGAGATGGCTCAGCGGTTAAGAGCATTGCATGTTCTTCCAAAGGATCCGAGTTCGATTCCCAGCAACCACATGGTGGCTCACAACCATCTGTAATGAGGTCTGGTGTCCTCTTCTAGCAGGCATATATGCAAACAGAATATTGTATCCATAATAAATAAATAAATATTTTAATAAATAAATAAATAAATGGAGGCTGAATACTGTGTACATAATAAATAAATAAATCTTTAAAACAATAAAAAAATTAAAAAAAAAACCTGCATTAAGGGGTTGGAGAGATGGCTCAGAAGTTAAGAGCACTGACTGCTCTTCCAGAGGTCCTGAGTTCAATTCCCAGCACCCACATGGTGGCTCACAATCACCTATAATGAAAATATACATGCCAAAAGGTAGGAGCTCAGCAACGCACTTCTGAGACCTGAGTACAACGGCCAGAAATCACATAAGGTAGAGAGAAATGACCGCAAAATTGTCCACTAGCCTGTGCGTGGGGGGGGGGGGTGCACATGGTCAGGGTACCCGTGGGGGGAGTGGGTAGGTGGGTGCACATGACCAGGGCACCTATGGGTGGGGGTGGGTACACATGGTCAGGGCACCTGTGTATGGGTGTGTGTGCGGGTGGGTGCACATGGTCAGGGCACCTGTGGGAGTGTGGGGGGATGTGGGAGGGTGCACATGGCCAGGCACATTATGGAGGTCAGGACATTAAAACATACTAGAAGTCAGCATCATCACCCAGTGATGATTATTGCATAACCGGTCAGTGACCTTTGAACCACACCCGAATCTCCCCAAGAGAAATCTGCAGAGCCTTAGCTGCCGGGGTCTACAGTTCTGTGTGAGCTGCCTCATGTGCTGTAGCAGACGAGGAAGCAGGACCCAGGGAAGGGAAATGGCTAGCCCCTTAGGTTCCACAGCCTTATCTATGGCGTGGGTCAGCTGACATTGGATTCTGGTGCCAGGTGCAATCAGAGGCAAACACATGACCGACCGCAGCCCTAGTCAGCCCTGGTGGGAGCCTCCGACAGAGGAAGTTCAAAGACTCTGCTGCTGACACTGCACAGTCCACGAGGGCCGATCAGGGTGCTGCACAGCCCACAAGGGCTGACCCGGGGGCTGCACAGCCTGCCCTTGGGCAGGCTCATTTCCCGTTGTTTCATCCCTCTCTGGACTTGCCAGCTGCACTGGCTATTATTATCTAGAGGTGTGATAAAAATGGCTTTTTGTTTCTTTGTTTAGCATCAGTGAGATGAGGGCCATCAAGATAATTTATTGGATAACGGCACTTGCTGCCAAGCCTGATGACCTGAGTTCAATCCCTGGGTACCTAAAAGGTAGAAGGACCATGTGCACCCACCCTCCCCCCCACACACACAGATAAGTACACATAAGAAAAGGGAAAGGGATGGGAAGAGTCCTGGGCTGGTCCAGATCCCAGATCTATGTGGTGAGAAAATGAAAGAATAAACAAAACTTTGTCCGCAAAAGCAAGTTCCAGGACAGCCAAGGCTATTACACAGAGAAACCCTGACTCAAGAAAACAAAACAAAACTTTGGGTTTGTGTAGATTTACTAGGTGTTGAAGTCTTCCTTCCTGCAAGCTTGGGCTTGTCATGTAACTTCTCCAAGCTTCCGGTTCTTCAGCTATAGAAATGGACAGAATAAGCGCCTGCTCCAGGCTGCGTGAGAGAGAAACCTAAAGATCCGAAGATGGTTTGCAGCACCCAGCACCGAGGGCTTTCCCACCACCCCTAATTTCCACATCAAACTGGCAAGACCCTCTCAGAGGGATTGAAAAGAAAACAAACAGAGATTAAAACTGCCTGGGACCACCAGTCAGTTCCAGCCTTGATTCCTTAAGCTTCGGGAAACCAGATTTATTGCAGACAGGCCATGCAGTCCTTATATGAGCTTTTAATCCAAGTGGGACCCAAGTCCTGGTTTTCTGACTTCCCTATGTTCCCTTTTTGGGGCATCAAGAGGATCGTGAATTATTGTGACCCCAGGTGACACTGTATGACCTGAGACAAGCCACACCTCTGAATCTTGGTCTCCTAATCCCTAAAATAGGCCACAAAGCCAAATCTAAGTGTTACTCCCAGAAAGCAGCTAGCCTCATACTCCCTGGGTTTTGTCTTCAGGAGAGCCGTGCGCTCTAGGGTTACACTGTGTGTCTTGTCTCCTCTATGTGAGCACATGCAGCTCCGTCCTGGGGCCCTGCTGTTCAGGCATAGGAGCTGTTGGTCATTCACCTGCACCTTTGAGCTGGTGAAGTCCCCAGGCAGGGCTAGTGACACTACAGGAAAGGGGAACCTGAACAAGGAAGGTGTGTCTGGAAACCAGCCACTGCCTAGAGTGATGCGAACGACATCCTCCCAGCGCTCAGTAGGTAGACGCAAACGAATCTCTGTGATTTCGTAGGCAGCCTGGTCTACAAAGCGAGTTTCAGGACAGCCATAGCCACACACACAGCAACCCTGTCTCGAAAACCAAAAAGAAGAAAAGAAAAGGTGTATGCCGCCGTGCCAAGCTATTTTAATTTCTTTATCCTGTGAAGCAGAGGTTGTCACTGTCCCCATTTTACAGAGCTAGTGACCCGACGGACCAACTATACTAAGGATTGGTCTTCCCGGACCAGGCTCCCCAGAATGGTAGTGATCCTTCCTCGAGGCTGTGCCAGGACCAGGAACCCGGAGGAGGAAGAGGAGGAGATGGAGGAGGAGGGCCGCACAGGAGAGGCGGGGCAGCACAAAACTGTCCGAGGTCTGCCTGGAGCCCAGATCCCATGGAGGCAGCGGGCTGTAGCTACCAATTCCGGATCGCTCTGCTCGGGGACGCCGCGGTGGGCAAGACGTCACTGCTGCGGCGCTACGTGGCGGGCGCTCGGGGTGCGGTGGAGCCGGAGCCGGAGCCCACTGTGGGCGTGGAGTTCTACAGTCGCGCGCTGCAGCTGCCCGCCGGGCTGCGGGTCAAGCTGCAGCTCTGGGACACCGCGGGTCACGAGCGCTTCAGGTGCGGCGGGAAAGGGGGTATCAATACCACTCACCTGGGGGGGACGCACGCCTGCTGGTGCCAACCGCAGGGACTCTGTGGACCCTCGCCTCCCCACCTCTCCCTACTCAGTCATTCATCCTACAAACTCCGCGGGGTGTGCCAAGCCCCCCAACCCCAGCAAGTGCTGTCACTGAGCCACACCCACCTACCCCCTACCCCTGCCTTCCCAAAGCCCTTACCCAACCCTAAAGGAAATGTCAGCTTAGGGAATTTGCGCTGAAACATTGAACTTCCCGGGGAGATAAATGACCTGGTTGCAGAGACAGCTCAAGGGGATGGGGAGGAAGGAAGACTGGTGTGGAGCCATGGGTGGGAGTTGCCAGCCAAGAAGTCAGAAACAACACGTATGAAGAGGGGACTGTACCCTTTCCCCAACACCTCCCGCCGTCTCCGCAATTAGGAGGAGTGAAGGCAAATCAGGGATTCAAGGCCAGCTTGGGACTGAGAGGCGTTGAATGAAATGTGTGGGAACGGAGTGGGAAGCCTGAGGATCTTGGGGCCCTCTGAGGCCGTCTTAAAGGCATATTTACCCTAATTTACCCCCCCCCCCAGGACCATCACCCGATCCTTCTACCGGAACATGGTGGGCGTTCTGTTAGTTTTCGATGTGACCAACAGAGAATCTTTTGAACACATCCAAGCCTGGCACCAGGAGGTTTTATCCTCTCAGGGCCCTGACAAGGTGATCTTCTTACTGATTGGCCACAAGTGCGACCTGAGCAGCCGAAGTGTCTCCACCCAGGAGGCAGAGGAACTGGCTGCCTCTCTGGGCATGGCCTTCATGGAGACCTCGGCCAAAAGTAACTGCAATGTGGACCTGGCATTTGACACTGTCGCCCGCGCCATCGAACAGGCCCTGCAGCAGGGGGACATCAAGCTGGAAGAGGACTGGGCAGGTGTCCGGCTCCTCCACAGAGCCCCAAACCCCAGATCTCCCAGCAGAAAGCAGGACTCAGGCCCATGCCAGTGTTGACTCTGGGAGAGAAAGGGTTACAGTGGTGCCAGCCTCAGACTCCCCAGGGGACTAGAGGGCAAATGACAAGACACTGACTCCTGACATGTTCCTGGCTTCTAATTCTTGGCCCTTTTTTTTTTTTTTTGGTCAAGATTGAACACAGGGCTTGGCCAGCCACAGATGTCTTCAGCCCTTTTATCTCTTATGTCTTCAGAATGATCTTGCTCAGTCCCCAGGCTAGCCTTGAACCTCAGCCTCTTGAGTGATTCCACTAGGCCTGGCCCTCTCGTGGGTTTTTAGTTCACAGCACAACCCCTTTCTAGAGAGAAATCTAAGCTCGGGTACGCAAGTTAATGTCATTTAGCCAAGTTTCCTTATCTATCGGTGTGACGTGGCAGTCCACAAATGCCCATAATTCCCAAACTTGGAGGCAGGACAAAGATGTCCTCAGCTTCAGAGAATTCAAGGTCAGCCTGGACTACAGGAGACTATTGCAAAAAACAAGAATAAAAACATTTAAAACCTTCTTTTCTTAATTCCACTGCACAGGGAGGCTGAGGCTGCATAAGGGACAGGCTTGCTGCCTCAGAGCCTGCCTCGCTGGCAGCTGATAGCAAGCTTCTGGCTTCCTTTCTTGGCTTCAACATTTTCATTCCTGGCAGCATCCCTGGCCTGGGAGCTGGCTTCCCAGCAGCTCACTGCCTTGCTGTGGGCTAATGTGGGGAATTCCAGTGCAAGCTTGGCTTAGCGCTTCCCCAGCCCTTAGAGTAGCATGGGTCTGGCCTTAGCACGTGTTGCTTCTCACAGTTCCCACCCCAAGCTCAGCGACTACCATTGAATTTGGGGGTTGATCATGAAGGAGCTGCCGGGTGCCAAGGTCTTCCCTATGATCCTGCATTCACATCCCCCAAGTCTTTTTCTTTCGCTTCCCGGGTCCTTGTGCATATGCTCTACCCCCAGATCTAGAGAGGTGGTCTTATTCTCCTTCACTTCCTTCCACCTTCTTCTCATTTCTCTCCTTTCTTGTCCTTATCTCTCTCCTGCTCCTTCTTGAACAGGATTTTATGTATTAGAGGCTGGTTTCAAACTTAAAAATCCTAGCCTTTAATTCCAGCACTCGAGAGGCAGAGGCAGGTGGATCTCTGTGAGTTGGAGGTCAGCCTGGTCTACAGAGTGAGTTCCAGAACAGGCTCCAAAGCTACACAGAGGAATAAAAGTGTCCTTGAACTCCCAAAGCTTTGACTGCAAGCTCCCAGCAGCTGGGATCACAGGCCTGCACCACCCTACCTAGTCTGTGTAGCACAGGAAGGATCAAAACCAAACCTGGTGCGCGCTAGGCACTCTACCAACTGAGATACGGTCCCAGCTGTTGATTTTTTTTTTTGTTTTGTTTTGTTTTTTTCGAGACAGGGTTTCTCTGTGGTTTTGGAGCCTGTCCTGGAACTAGCTCTTGTAGACCAGGCTGGTCTCGAACTCACAGAGATCCGCCTACCTCTGCCTCCCGAGTGCTGGGATTAAAGGCGTGCGCCACCACCGCCCGGCCCAGCTGTTGATTTTTTGAGACAAGAGCAAAGCAGTCCTAGAACAGAACTCATGGCAGTCCTCCTGCCTCTGTCTCCTGAGTGCTGAAGTTACAGACACATGCCACCATTCTTAGTTACAGACACATACCTTGTCTTTCTTAACTCCATTAAGACCTTATTTCTACATGGGAAGTAGAAAGTAGAAAAAGACAAGATTTCCTGAGTAAATTGGAAGCCTGGGGACCTTGGGGGAAGGTTGAAGGGCAGGGGGGAGAGGCAGGGAGGGGAACAGAGAAAAAGGTAGAGCTCAATAAATGTCAATAAAAAAAGAGAGATGGGGGAGAATGTGGGTGGATGCAGAGAAGGTGTGGAGCAGGATGCTGATTCGGATTGGACTCTGAGTTTCCCAGAGACAATAAACTCTAATGGCTCTGGAAAAAAAAAAAAGACCTTATTTCAGTTTTTCCTTCCTTTTCCTGGCCCACCCCATACAGGCACAGGAACCCTTTTCATAATGGCTTCCTAGTTCTAGGTGGTCCTTCTGTCTTCAGCTCTTACCCTGTTGTAATAGCCAGCCATATACACGCACACACTGCTTTGTAGTGAATTCTTCCTCAGAAGAGTCCTTCCAGGTTGCATCTTCGGTCCAAACCACTACTGGCAACATCCCAGTCAGCATTTTCCTGCTTCCAACTGCAGTCTTCAGCCCAGCACACCAGGCAATGCCTTAGCATCAGCACAGACATACCAGCCCTCACCTGCAGCTTCACTGGCTTCCGGCTGTCCGGGCAGCAGGTCTAGAGTCCCGCTTAGCATGTGAATCTTTTTTGTTTTGTTCTTCTGGATTTGAGACAGGGTCTCTCTATACAGGACTGGATATCCTGGAATTCACTGTGTAGACCAGGAACTCTCTGAACTCAGAGATCCACTGGGCTCTGCCTCCTGAGTGCTGGGATTTAAGGTACATGCCACTGCACCTAGCCAACATGCCAATCATCTTTTTTTTACTTTTTTCTTTTTTGAGACAGGGTTTCTATATCTTTGGAGTCTGTCCTAGAACTCGCTCTGGCCTCAAATTCAGAGACCCGCCTGCTTCTACCTCCTGAGTGCTGGAATTAAAGGTGTGTCCTGTGTACCACTACAGCCCAATTTTTTTGTTTTTGTTTTTGTTTTGTTTTGTTTTCCTAGACAGGGTTTCTCTGTAGCTTTGGAGCCTGTCCTGGAACTAGCTCTTGTAGACCAGGCTGGTCTCGAACTCACAAAGATCTGCCTGCCTCTGCCTCCCGAGTGCTGGCCATGCTAGCTGACCTGGAATTCGCTTTGCAGACCAGGCTGGCCTCGAGTTCACAGAGAACCACTTTTCTCTACCTTATCTTCCCCAGTGCTGGGATTAAAGGCTCCCAACATACCTGGCTTTTTATTTACTTAGTTTGAGTACCCTTGAGCTTGCTACGTAGACCAGACTGCTTTTTTGTTTGTTTTTGGTTATTGTTGTTTGTTGGTTTGGTTTTCAAGACAGGATTTCTCTGTGTGACAGCTCTGGCTGTCCAGGAACTCACTTTGTTTACCAGGCTGGCCTCCAACTCTCACAAAGATCTGCCTGCCTCTTCCTCCCACGCATCGCCAAGCCCAGCATCCGGGCTGGCCTCGAACTCACAGAGGTCCCATCTGCTTCTGCCTCCTGAGCACTAGGATTAAGCACATACCCACCATGTCCCTCTATTTATGTGTATGTGTGAATGCCTGCTTGTCTATCTGTGTACCATGAGCATGCAGTACCAAGGGCTCAGGAGAGGGCATCAGACTGGAGTTGCAAGCAACCTTGTGGGAGGTGGGAGTCAAGCCAGGGCCCTCTGGCCACCTTTCCAGTTCCTGTATACTAATCGTGAATCAACAGAATCTCTCTGGATTTATTTTTTGAGGGGTGAGGGTTGGGGTCCAAGTTTTATCCAGCAACTCCAACAAACAGGCAGGTATGGTGATGTATATCTGTAATCTCAGCCGCTCAGGAGGCTGAGGCAGGAAGATTGTGAGTTCGAGGCCAGCCTGGGCTACAGAGGGAGACTCTTTCTCCCAAGACCAATGTGTGGGATGGATCTTAGTGGCACAGCACCCACCTAGTATGAGCAAGAATTTGATTCCTAGTACTGCAAATAAACAAACAAATAAATAGGGGCTGGAGAGTTGGCTCAGTGGTTAAGAGCACTAACTGCCCTTCCATAGGATCCGGGTTCAATTCCCAGCACCTACACGGCAGCTCACAGCTCTTTGTTCCACTCTCACACAGACATACATACAGGCAAAACACCAATGCACATGAAACAAAATTAAATAAAAGCTTAAAAAATGCTGTTAGAGCCTTTGGCAGGCCCAAACAGCACAAAATAATAATAATAATAATAATCTAAAATAAAGCAACAGAAATCTAACAAAAAATCTTTAAACAAAATATCCTAGATCAAATTCCTCATCTTGGTTCATCTCCAAATAATTTGCCCTTACCAGCTATGAACAAGTAACCGGTCCACGGTGGAGTCTTTACTCTGCATGCCCATGGTACAAAGGCCCATACATTACAGTTTTAAAACTATTTACTTATATTCTGGTCTGCCTGCTTCTCTCCCTCCACCTTTATGTGAGTTCTATGACTGAACTTAGGTTGGCAGGCTTGCATGGCAAACAATGAGCCATCTGGCCGGGCCTCAATACCTTTTGGGAAACACCTCGCTCCAGTGGATGGCGACCACTGCTCTACAGAGACACCCAGCTTCCAGTTCCCGTCAACATTTTTGGAGAAATGACTGATGCTGACACCCCCCAACTCCACCTTCTACATAGCCCAGGGTGCCTTTCCCACTTCCCTTCAGTTGTGTGATTGTAATTTTTCCTGATGTCAGTTCACTCTAGGCAGAGCACCAAGGACAGAAACAATTCCACCCAAGTCTCTCTTGGTGAACGAATGAGTTTATTGGACTTACGTACAGGAGCATGGGTGACCCCCAAACAGCTGTATCACTGAAAAGTCCCACCCCAACATGATGACAGGGATGGGGTTCCTCTGAAGTTGGCTGTGCACACTTTGTATTCTCCAGCTGCCCCGAGACCACACGTGGCTGGGGCAGGGTTACGTGCAGCTTGCCAGGCAACAGGTTGGAGTCCTAGATGAAGGCCCATTAGCTCTCCTCACCCCTTCCTTCTGAGGGAACAGTAACAGACATGATCTTAGGAGAGGCTCTTGCAGATAGCCACCTCTGCTCGAAGTGAGGTGGTGATAGACAGCCTGCAAGGCTAGCTGTGCACACCTCCAACCCCAGCACTTGGGAGAGGGAGGCAGTTGGATCCTTAGTCCTGTAACAAGTTTAGTCATCAGCCTGGGCTACAGGAGATCCTGTCTCAGAGGATGAAACAAGGCTGGGAGTAAGCTAGCTATCGCCAGCTTGCTGCTCTTCACGGTGTATTCAATAAACCTGGTTTTTCCTTCAGGATAATAACGACTAAACAATCAAGACAGCAACCAGGGCTGGGGAGACAGCTAGGTGCTTGTCTCGAAGGCATGGGGACCTGAGTTTGATGCCCAGAATCTATATAAGATGCTGGACGTGGTGGTACATACTTGCAATTCCAGGGCTCGGGAGAGGGAGACGGCAAAATTCCAGGGGCTCATTGGTGAGACAGTCTAGCCTAACTGGTAAGTTCAAGTTCAAGGAGAGACCCAGTCTCAAAGTGGGGAGATGACAGTCCTGAGGATGACACCTGAGATTTCCCTTTGGCCTCCACTCACACAGGTGTGTGTATGTTCATGTGTGAGCACAGACACTTACACACAAATATGCATACATACACAAATGTACCAACAATGTTCTACTTAGAAGATGATGTTCCACAATGCCCCTCCAATACCTTTTCCACATTGCAACAGGATCAGAGAGGCAGGATGGGCTCTATCATCTTGTCTAATGCAATCCTTCCCAAGTCTCAACAGGTAAAAAAGACACTGATCAGTGAATGTTGTAGGAAGCCAAGAACGGCCTGCTGCCAACACAGCTCACTGGAGCAAGGCTCCAAATGCCCGAGATGCCGGCATGAAGCCACACTGAGTAAGGACTGTCCACCCCATGCTCCCTTTCTTCTCTCTGTACTCTCTTCCAATCCTGCACCTGTGAGTCCCATCTTGACACGTTTTTTTTTTTCCCTTAAATGTTTTTAACTTCTGGGATTGAAACCAGGACCTTACTATATTAAGCATGGGCTCTACCACTGAACTAAATCCCTAGCTTCAGGTACACCGCCTTCTATAGACCCCTGGGCCTTCGCACATTCTGTTACTGTACAAAATGCTTCAATGGCTCCTGTTACTTCTGGACAAAACCCACTCATTGCTGGAACCCGAGACTAGACCTCCCCGTTCCCTCTTCTTTCAGATGTGACTCTAGTCTCTGTCGTATTTATCTTTCTCTGATGGCAGCACACCTGGGTTGTTTTAATTCACTATTGTGGCTCTTGCCTAGTAGCGGCACGAACACAGCGTACAGGGACCTGAACAACCACTCGGTGTGCTAACAGGACGGTAGGACTGAGACAGAGGAAGCCACCTACCTGTCACACAGCTGATCAAGAACTGACATCTGTGAGTACCTCACTTCTGTCCACTGTACTTCCCCAATTGCCTTGTCCCTTTCCGTCCTCGACACAGGTCTCAAGAGTCCTTCAAGCTTCCTTCTTGGCTGCTGGAGTCAGGGCCTTGTCCCTGTCAGGGCGCAGTGTGAGCCTTCTGCTGTCTGTCATTACTGACAGAGCATCCTTTGAGAACATCTCCCAGTGGCAGCAGGCTCTGGGAAGGCCAAATCCTCCAACATCCTCCTCCTGGTGCTAGGCCACAGGCTGAGCTCAGTGTCCATGTGACCAGTGAAGAAGCTGGCTGTCCTTTTGCAGGTGAAACCTCAGCCAAGAACAACAGCGACATCTGAATGATTTTGAGCTGTTCACCCAAGAGATCTACAAACTGTCCCATCTTAGACCAAGCCCCAGGAGGAAGATGACAAAGCAGGGACCAAGAGTAGCTGTGTCTGTGCTGTGGTCCCTAGGTGGAGGGGCAGCCACCCTCCCCAGAGCCCATGGACCCCTCACAATCCACAGGACTGTGCTGGGCATGGGTAGGATGATGCCTTGGGGAGAACATCCTGTGGTCTAGCAGGGCCTGCTTTCCTCTGATGACAGACGCTCAGCAACAGACCGAACCCAAAGCTGTTCACATCCTCCTTCATGATCTTCCACGGAGTTCCAGCCGCAGTCCAAAAGGGCTCTAGAAAGCCTGGTGTGAGGATGTACCCGTAATCAGCACACCGAGAGGTAGAGGCAGGAGGGAGGGATCAAGGATGATGCCAGCCTGGGTTACATGAGAGTTTGCCTCAAAACACCAAAAACAAACAAACAAAAAAAAAAAAAAAAAGGGGGCTGGAGAGATGGCTCAGTGGTTAAGAGCACTGGCTGCTCTTCCAAAGGTCCTGAGTTCAATTCCCAGCAACCACATGGTGGCTCACAACCATCTGTAATGAGGTCTGGTGCCCTCTTCTGGCCTGCAGACATACACACAGACAGAATATTGTATACATAATAAATAAATAAATATTTAAAAAAAAAAAAAAAAAAAAAAAAAAAAAAAAAAAAAAAAGAAAAAAGTCCCAGGGACACTGACATTACCAGAACTAGAATGCTTGTTTATTTCAGAACTAGTTTACCCTGTCTGGTGGCAGAGAAACTGGATTCCAACTCTTGCTAGTTTGTTCCTTCTGAGTAAAACTGAAAAACTTTCTTAAATGTACGGATCGGTGCGGAGCCTCTGCTGCCACCTGCTGACGGCAGCGCTTCAGCCTGGCTGGGCCTGACTGGCATTTTAGAGGCTCTCAGCTGTGCACCGAGTCTTTATTCTGGAAAAGCAAATCAAGTTCATATTCATATAAACACTGACATTACAAAGTACAGGGACTAGGGGAAGGAGCAGACAAACCCGCTACAACCTTGCTAACACTGTCTCACCTAACATGACTGCATATACCGCTCTGCCTACAGTCAATCATTTATAAGACAAACTGGGCCACGTCTTCTCCCGAAGATACACTGCTTCTCTTTGAGACGGCAGGGAAAAGGAACCAGAAGTTGGGGTAGGAGGCTTTATTCTTTTGGCAGATCTTCTCAGTCATTATAGATATTGCTGCACTGTTAATAAAAAATATATGCTTCTCTGTAAAGCATTTAAAAAAAAATCCAAGGATGAGATGGCTGAGGTCTCAGCTCAAGTATCTCCAAATGCATGTCGTCCATTCACTGACTGTCCCTGTGTTATTTCTTCGTTGTTTTCCGGATCAATGCCATTCTCTGAAAGAGGAGAGAAATGAAGAGGGCTCTGAGTCAGAAGCTTTACAGGATATCCAGAGGCCATTAGCAAGTAGCATGGTCGACATTGTAGGAGCAGCATGCGGGGTTGAGAGATGGTCACTGGGCCCATTTCACAGACTGAGAGACTGGCACTGCCCACTATGCCTTCCATATTCACATGAAGCTCCCTTTCCCTAGGGCAGCCATTTAGATTACAACAGAAAGATGCCAGACTTGTCAAGAGGAGGCCAGTACCCCCAGTGGACTAAAGACAGGGATAACTGGTTCTCTATCAGAAATGATGTTCTCACACTGTCAAGAAGGGCAGAGAACAGCAGCTACCACAAGACATAACCCAGAATGTCGGGCAGACCAGCCTGGGTACCTCTCAGCACAAGCCCAGCACACTGCTTTCTCTGCCCTGGGTGGTGTATGTCATTTAAACTGGCTTTTACTAAGGTGTGGGGGCAGGTGGGAATGCCCACAGACGCTCTGCAATCAAGAGCTTTAAGTGAAACTCTCTGGGGCTGAGAGGAAACTGAAAACTCCCCTGCAGCAGCAAGGCACCAGGGAGGCTGTCACTGTGCTGCCTCTGACCTCTGTACAGGGAAGCTGGCTGCACAGGGGATGATACTCCTGGAAGGCAGCTGGCATGCCTGCTCCGAGGTGCAGTTCTAGGGACCAACCCTGGCTGTCCCAGGCTCCTCACCTGTTTGTGAGCTTCTGTGGTGCAAGCTTTTTTGTAGGGTCGGATTTCCTCGGAGCCAAATCCTGGGATCCACATGTTCCACTGGCGCTCTGCAAGGAAGCAGGGGCAGAGCTGGGGTTCCCGCGAGAAGCAATGCAGCTAGGGGCAAGCGGCGCAGGCAGACTGGGCATCCACTGTACAGCCATGGCCTCTCCGAGGCTTCTTCACTGGGCTTGGTGCACACAAGGCAAATACTCTACCAAGTATACCCCAAGTCCTTTAATGTTGGGGGCTGTGGACCCCCAAACCTTGAGTTTCCTATAAACAACTTGTTTTTCTGTGTTGGCAGCTGCTCTGAGCACGAGACCCTCAGGAGTTCCTGATGGCAGGGGATTGGTTTCTGGCGGGTTTAGCTGGGATGTGGCTATCAGTTAAGGATCCCTATATAAGCTGCTCTGGAACACAATAAAGGGGGCATCCTTGTTTCAAGGATGACTCGTGTTTCTGTCCCTCTGTCTTTGCATATGTCAATCTCCAAGCCCTTGCCCGGCTCACGAACTATCCCATAGCTACAGGCATAGTACCATAGTACATGTAGTACAGGTGCTACAAGACCGTAGTACACATAGTAGCACAGATGCTACACTTTAATGCCCCCCATTTGTTTTTGGTTTTCTGAGATAGGGTTTCTCTATAGTTTTGGAACCAATCCTCGAACTCACACTGTAGACCAGGCTGGCCTCAAACTCACAGAGACCCACTTGTCTTTGACTCCTGAGTGCTGGAATTAAAAGCATGCACCACCACTGCCCAGCAACATAGAAGTGCTTGAGTTTTCTTTTTTGTTGTTTGTTTTTTGTTTGTTTGTTTTTCGAGACAGGATTTCTCTATGCAGCCCTAGCTGTCATGGAAATTACTCTGTAGACCAAGCTAGCCTCGAACTCACAGAGATTCGCCTGCCTTTGCCTCCTGAGTCCAAGTGCTGGAATTAAAGGCGTGCACCACAACTAACTGGCTATAAAATTTATTTTACTCTGGACAGACCAACTACTTAAAACAAATAGAAACTGTGTGTATTACGTATGTGTATGTGTGTGCACAGATATACATGTCCCTGTGGATCTGGGCCAGAAGACACTTGGTGTCCTCCTCTAACTTTTCACTTTCTCCCAGGGCAGAGTCTGTCACAGAACATGGGACACTGCCTTCCAGTTAGGCTGCTTGTCAGCAAGCCCCAGTCATCCTCTTGTTTACCTGTCCTAGAACTGAGATTACAGGCGTGCACAACCATAACTTTTTTGGCTTCTTTTTTCGAGACAGGGTTTCTCTGTGGTTTTGGAGCCTGTCCTGGAACTAGCTCTTGTAGACCAGACTGGCCTTGAAGTGCTGGGATTAAAGGTGTGCACCTCCACCGCCCAGTTTACTTTAGTGACTTTATCACGTTACAGTTAATGCACATAAATGTTATGTGACTAACTCATGTTTAGCTGTAGAATGTGCTATTTTTTCCAGTTTATGAACATAATCTGTACTTCTCATAGTTTCCTGCAAGTATCCTCACTTTATGAAAAGAGAGACAGACTCTCAAAAATCAAGCAGAAAGGATAAGGTGGTCCCAGGGGGCATCCCATACCACAAAGCTTTCTCTCCTCTATTTGAATGGTAAAGGTCTGGTTGTGGCCTGAGGGTTTCTCTGACCTTTGCCCTGACAGTCCTCATGGACAGGGGAGAAATGAGACCACGTACCTAGATGCAGCTGGACATCTTTAACCTCCAGGGTGCTGGACTTGCGATGCCGAGCAAGCTGGCAGGCTGCTGTCACTACACTCTCGATGAAATCATCAGCGATCTGTAGCAGCATCTGTAGAGGGGAATGGCGGAGAGTAACCATGCCATTGGCAGGGCAGGCTCCTGTTTTGAGGACAACTGTGTGCTTCCTGAACCACATATTTAGTCAGGCTTGCGCTCGCGCTCTCTCTCTCTCCTTCCTCCTTCCTTTTTAATAATTAACTTTATTTTATGTTCATTGGTTTGAAGGTGTCAGACTCCCTGGAACTGGAGTTACAGACAGTTGTGAGCTGCCATGTGGGTGCTGGGTATTGAACCTGGGTCCAATGCTCTTAACCACTGAGCCATCTCTGCAGCCCCTAGCCAGGTTTCTATTAGTAGGTCTGGAATGAGGAACTGGACTAGTGTGGATGAGGGAGGTCAGGATGTCCTTTCTCCTCAGGTGAGATCGACTGACACAGCCACTACTCTTGTGTTTCTTCTTAACCTTCCTTTCCTTTTCTCTCTCTCTCTGGTTTTTGTTTCGTTTGATTTTTTTTTTTTTTTTTTTTTTTTTTTGGCTTTTCAAGACAGGGTTTCTCAGTAGCTTTGGAGCCTGTCCTGGAACTAGTTCTTGTAGACCTGGCTGGCCTCGAACTCACAGAGATCCGCCTGTCTCTGCCTCCCGAGTGCTGGGATTAAAGGCGTGTGCCACCACCGCCCGGCTTGGTTTGGTTTTTTGCAACAGGGTTTCTCTGAGTAGCTTTGGAGTCTGTCCTGGAACTCATTCTTAGTCCAGGCTGGCCTTGAACTCACAGAGATCTGCCTGCAGAGTGCTGGGATTAAAGGCACGTGCCACCATCGCCTGGTGCTCTTTCCTGTACACCTCTGTACAGAGAACCCTGCCTCACCCTCACCTCCCTCCCCCCCCCCAAAAAAAAATTTGATGCCCGATTCTGCACTACTGTCACATGAAAGACCTGGTATTTCTATTCTTTTGTTTGTTTTTTTGAGACATGCCTGGCTATTTGTGTTTTTGAGATAGGGTATCACTATGTAACCACTATTCGCCTGGATCTTGTGTAGACTGGACTGGTTTTGAAATCACTATAGGCTTTCCTCTGCCTCCCAAGTGCTGGGATAAAGGCATGTGCTGCCACACATTTATGTGTTCCTAGGAGAACAGAAGAGGATGTCAGATCCTCTGGAATCAGGAGTTACCAGTGTTTGTGAGTTGTCTGCCATGAATGCTGAGAACCAAACTTGGGTCCTCTATAAGAACAGCAAGTGCTCTTAATTGCTAACCCATTTCTCCAGAGCCTCAATCATTAAAAAAAAAATTGTGTGTGTGTGTGTCTGCTAGCGCACGCACCTGAAGAAACATCAAGTATTCTCTACCTCAGCCTGCTCCTGTGAGGCAATGGACCTGGACTTAGCCTTTCTCAGCAAACTCTAGCAGTCCACAATTCTCTGCTTCTTGTAGATGACCAGCCTCCTACACTGCTGCTGGGATCGGATTGCTAGTCTTCAAAATTGTGCAAGAAGTACTCTTAAGGGGGCTGGAGAGATGGCTCAGAGGTTAAGAGCATTGCCTGTTCTTCCAAAGGTCCTGAGTTCAATTCCCAGCAACCACATGGTGGCTCACAACCATCTGTAATGAGGTCTGGTGCCCTCTTCTGGCCAGCAGGCATACACACAGACAGAATATTGTATACATAATAAATAAATATTTAAAAAAAAAAAAAAAAAGAAGTACTCTTAACAGCCCAGTCATCACTTCCCCAGGCCTTTGTCCCCAGCCTTTAAAGGAAGATGCTGAGACTAAGACCAACCTATTCACGCTGTGTAATAAGATAGCAGGAGATGGGACTCAGCCTTCAAGGTCAAGTTCTAATCCTGAAGCCTTTTTATTTTTAAAGTGATGTATATTAGTGTTTTGCCTGCATGTACGGATGTGACCACATACTATGACTACATGGGAGACAAAGAAAGGCACTAGATGACCTGGAACTTGAGTTATGGATAGTGGTGCTGGAAACCAAACCTGAGGCCCTGTAGGAAAGTACTCTTGGCTGGCTGGTGGTGGCACACACTTTTATTCCCTGCACTTAGGTGGCAGAGACAGGCAGATCTGTGAGTTCAAGGTCAGCCTGGTCTACAGAGCAAGTTCTAGGACAGGCTCCAAAGCCACAGAGAAACTCTATCTCAAAAAATCAAAAAGAGAAATAAAAAAAAAAAAGAAAAGGGGCTGGAGAGATGGCTCAGAGGTTAAGAGCACTGACTGCTCTTCCAGAGGTCCTGAGTTCAATTCCCAGCAACAACATGGTGGCTTACAGCCATTTATAATGAGACCTGGGGCCCCCTTCTGGCTTGCAGGCACACGTGGAAGGAATACTATACACATAATATAATAAATAAATAAATATTTAAAAAAAAAGAAAAAGATTAAAATTCGTATTTGTCAACACTAAATCTCTGCCCCCTTTAAAAAGCTATTTATTTGGCTTCTCAAAACACTGTTTCTCTGCATAGCCCTGGCTGTCCTAAAACTCACTCTGTAGATCAGGCTGGCCTCGGACTCAGAGATTCCCCGTTCCTGCCTCCCTAGTGCTATGATTAAAGGCATGCATCACCACCAGTCCCTATATAAAAATATATTTTTATTTTAAAAAACTTTTCAAAAAGCTTTATGTTTACAAATATTTTGTCTGCACATACATACATGAACCATGTGTGTGCATGTACCTGTGTAAGTCAGAAGAAAGCATCAGAATCCTTGAACTGGACTTACGAATTAATGTGAGGTACTATGGGCTGGAGAGATGGCTCAGTGGTTAAGAGCACTAACTGATCTTCCAGAGGTCCTGAGTTCGATTCCCAGCAACCACATGGTGGCTCATAGCCATCTATAATGAGACCTGGCGCTCCCTTCTGGCATGCGGGGCACACATGGAAGGAATGCTGTACACATAATAAATAAATAAATAAATAAATATTTTTTTTAAAAAAAAATGTGAGGTACTATATGGTTGCTGGGAATTGAAACTGTGTCCTCTGCAAGAGCAGGTGCTCTTAACTCCAGGCCCATATTTTTATTTTTTATTTGTGTTTTGTCTGCATGTATGTCCATATTATGGTGCTGGATCCCCTGGAACTGGAGTTACAGTTGTGAGAAATCATGGGAGTGTTGGGAATTGAACCCAGGCCCTCTGGAAGAGCAGCCAGTGTTCTTAACCAGTGAGCCATCACCCCATCTCCCCCAAGTCTCCACTCTTAACTACCATGCTGTTATCATCTTTGGTACCCAGATGCAACTTACCTCCTCCACATCTTCATCCAGCTGCTCATTAGGATCCACCTCTCTGACTAAGTCTTGTAATTTCTTCTTGGTTAGTACCTAAAGTGAATTGGGGGGAAGAGTTTTCGTAAGCATCAAGGACACAAACTTTATTACCCTCTAAAGAAGACAGGCTGTCAAGTTGTTTAGTTCTAGCTCCCAGACAGCCCTCCCTGGTGGTACAGCTGCAAAAGTACTCAAGGACAAGAGGCAAGAGTGGTTTGGAGGTGAGGTCAGCACCTGACTGTCAGGCATTTTATTCAACTTTATCTTTCTCACTATTCTTCCCTGCTCTGCACAGAGCAGTCTGCAATTGTCGGAACACCAGATCACCGTACACTGTGCCCTTGATCAGTTGTCTTAAGATGTGTTCTTTCTTCCTACACGTTCAGGCTATGGTTCTCTTTTCTGAGGTGTCTCCTAGCCTACCCGGGGAAAAGGACCCACATGCCCTTCAGCTCTTCTGTCACTCTGCAGATTTGTACATCAACCCATATCTGATTTAGAAGGCTAAGGGATTGAGCCAGGTGTGATGGCACACACCTTTAATCCCAGCGCTTGGGAGACAGGCAGACAGATTCTGAGTTCAAGTCCAGTCTTGTCTACAGAATGAGTTACAGGACAGCCAGGGCTAGACAGAGGAACATCTCCACCCAAGAAAAAAAAGGCTAACAGTTCTGAGGGTGACCAAAAGTGGTCATCTCTGTACACCTAAATAATAGTAAGTAGCTGAAGGTATCACCCCCTTTTCTAAAGAGAGTCATGTTACATCTAGATAACATTAAAACGTGATGGGGGAGCTGAAGATTCAGTTTGGTTGTAGATTGCTTGCCTAGCTTGAAGTCCAGCTATAGATCCCTAGAATCACAGATAGAAAAAAACACTAAATCTAAGTGAAACAAGTATCTGGGCTTTTGTGTCCTCCTACCCCTCCTACCTACATCACTATGTAGACCAGGCTGCCTCTGCCTCCCAAGTCCTGGGATTAAAGACTTCTCTTTACAGTTATTTAGTGGTGCATGTGTGCGCGCGCAAGCACACGAACGACAATGCACATACGTGGAAGAGGTTAACTTGAGGAATTAGAATCTCTTCTTCCACTATCTAGATTTGGGGATTGAACTCAGATTATCAAGATTGGCAGCGAGGGCCTTTACTGACTGAGTCTTCTTGCTAGCCCTCAAGTTTTCTGAGGCAGGACCCATAACTGGTTTTGTAGCAGAGGAAGAGGAATCCTGTGGAAGGTGTGAGCCACCTTGCTCTTCTATAGTGGCCTCCATAGTCAACACAGGCTGGACTCTATTCAGCCAACCCTTCCACAAGCAATTCAGTTAGTCCTCCTGTCCACTCCCTTGAACGTCTCCTCATCCATTGTATTCAGCCTACAAGATCCAAGGCTTTGTCTTTCTTTTGGTTTTCAGAGACAGGGTTTCTCTATGTGATATCCATGGCTATCCTGTAGACCAGGCTGGCCTTGAACTCAGAGATCCACCTGCCTCTGCCTCCCAGCTTTATACTTCTTTTCTTGTTGCTCTCTCTGGAAGGTGGAATCAGAGTCACAGGTACAAAGAGTAGAACAGATTTCAGAATCACTGCAGAAATGAATGGCAGCAGTAAGATAAACCATTAGAAGGAACAACTGAACACTCTTATTTTAGGACTAGGAACCCATGTATTATATAGATAACTCATAAAATATCTGCCATTGTCGAGTGTGGTAGCTCACTCCTGTAATCCCAACCCTGGGGAGCATGAGGCAGGAAGATTGCCCGTGACTTTGATGCTGCTTGGGGCCACATCTTTGAGTTCTAGTCACCCCAGGCTATACTAAAACCCCAGCCACATGTTCTTTGAAAGTTTGTTATTACATACACACACAGTCATATATAACAGAGCAAAAACTGATACTCATAGACAATTAAATAAAAATGCTATCCCAGAGAGCAAAACCCTTTTTCTTTATTTTATTCTATTTTTGTTTGTTTGTTTGTTTGTTTGTTGTTTGAGACAGGGTTTCTCTGTAGCTTTTGAGCCTGTCCTGGAACTAGCTCTTGTAGACTGGGCTGGCCTCAAACTCACAGAGATCCACCTGCCTCTGCCTCCTGAGTGCTGGGATTAAATTTGTGGGCCACCACCATCTAGTTTGGGAAAGACCTTTTTCAACAGAGAGCATGAGCACTACCTCTGTGCCTCACAGGTGCAATGTCACAAAGAAGGAGAGCTAAGAGGTACCTGATTGTTTTCAGGGCTAAGACGACCGCCTGTCCCAGGAGTGCCTGGTATCTTTACCACAGTGGTGCTATTGGCCATGGAGCCTTGTGGAGGGGTGCTGGCTGGCTCTGGTTTTATAGATGAAAAATTGGAGAGGTTGATTAGGGCTGAGGGGCCAAACTGGTTCATAATCTGCCGAGCTTTGGACTTCAGCTCATAGAGCTTATCAAGATCCTGTTTCTTTTTGGAGCTGTGAGGACCAAGGCCAATCAACTGGAGAAGGAAAACAGACAGCAGAGTTACTCTAGAGACACCTGCAGTAATGTATGCATTTTGAAAGTAACATGAGATCTGTCAGACTTGAGTCGTCTGTGTGTCCAGGAGGGTGACTACTTGATATTGACATTAAAATGGAGGGGATGAAGAATGTTCACTGCTCTCACCTGGTTTTGGAAATCATCTTGTCTCCAAAATCGAAATGAAATAGTTCACAAAATTAAGTAAAGAAAAAAGTAAATGAGGGCTGGAGAGATGGCTCAGAGGTTAAGAGCATCGCCTGCTCTTCCAAAGGTCCTGAGTTCAATTCCCGGCAACCACATGGTGGCTCACAACCATCTGTAATGGAGTCTGGTGCCCTCTTCTGGCCTTCGGGCATACACACAGACAGAATATTGTATACATAATAAATAAATATTTTTTTTAAAAAAAGAAAAAAGTAAATGAAATGAGAAATCTTATTTACAAAAATAATCTAGAATAAGCAAGACATTTTGAGGGATTCATACAAGTAAACAGACAGAATACTAGGTTAAGTACTTACATGCATGGTTTTTTTAAGTAGGAAATAATGTTAAATTCAATCACACACTTAAAACTCAGTCACAAAGCTTAAGAAAACGATTAGTTCATTATCAAAACATGAAGCATCTCAAAACATGCTTAAGTCCAAGGCAGGGGTCTGTCCAATAAAGACCACTTTTAGCAACTGTAAAAGCTCTGCTTTACTATAAAGAACTTTCCCCCTGTGTTTTAGCAATCTTCAACACATGCTGAGACCATCGCCTAAAGCAGCTGCAAGCCCTAAAGCTTACAGCCATAAGGCCGACTCTGTGAACATTGGCTGAGGTGTCAAGACCAGAAGCACATTCACCAAGTTCTGCCCACAGTGGCCTCAAGTTTACTTACTGCTATCTGAGTGTCTAGATCTTTAATTACATCAGCAACAGCTGTAAGCCCGGTGTAATGAGAGCCAGCCATTTCAAAAGCTACCTGTAAACAAATAACTAGCATCAAGTACCACCCCGGCCACGGAAGTATACCAGTTGTGTGGCATGGTGCAACTCCAACCAGGATTTAGCTGAAGATGCAAGCTGGTGGTAGAGAGCTTGTCTAGTATATGTGAGGCCCTGGGCTTCATAACTCCATCAAGACAGGATTGCAAAGTCAGGCATGCCAAGCTGGGCAGTGGTGGTCCCTGTCTTAATTCAAGCACTTGGGAGGCAAGGTGATCTCTGTGAGTTCAAGGCCAGCCTGGTCTACAAAGGGAGTTCCAGGACAGCCAGGGCTACACAGAGAAACCCTGTCTCGAAAAAAACAAAAATCTACCCCTCCTCTCCCGCTCTCTGCCTCTACTCATCACAGGAGCAGAAACATTCAAAGCATGTCTGCTGCTGGGAGGCAGTGGAACTCACAGACCCACTTGCCTCTGCCTCCCAAGTGCTGGGATTAAAGGTGTGTCCATCACTTCCAGCAGCAAAAATCAGTATATTAAAAAGGTCTACCCCATCTTGGTATTAATTCATTACACTACGCCGGGCGGTGGTGGCGCACACCTTTAATCCCAGCACTCGGGAGGCAGAGGCAGGCGGATCTCTGTGAGTTCGAGACCAGCCTGGTCTACAATAGCTAGTTCCAGGACAGGCTCCAAAACCACAGAGAAACCCTGTCTCGAAAAACCAAAAAAAATAAAAAATAATTCATTACACTACCCAATGTATTACGAGCATTCTTTTTTGTTTGATTTCTTATTTTTGTTCTTGTTGTTTTTAGATAGGATCTCACTCTACCCCATGATGCTCTGGAATTTACTATGGAACTAAGCTTCTGGACAATCTTCCTGCTTTAGCCTCTCAAATGCTGGTATTATAGGGCAGCATCACAGGACCCAGCTCTTTTCTGAGACAGTCTTTATGGACTCCTGGCTCATCTGATACTTGCTGGTTGTCTCAACTGGCTTTGAATCTGGGGTGATGCTCCTGTCTCATCCCTCCCCACTCCAATTACTAAGGTTACAGATGTGGATCACCATGCCTGACTTCTGTAATCATTTTTATAACTAAAGATTTTTTTCTGTTCTATTTATTTCTTCTTTTATGTTGGGGAAGGGACAGGCATGTGTCACAGTGAATATAGAGGTCAGAGGACAACTTGAAGGAGTTGGTTCTCTCATTTCACCATGGTGGTTAAGACTGGTGGCAAGCACTTTTGTCCTCTGAGGTATCTCACTGGCCCTAATGACTGGAGTTGTTTTTTTTTTTTTTTTTTTTTTTTTTTTTTTGGTTTTTCGAGACAGGGTTTCTCTGTGGTTTTGGAGCCTGTCCTGGAACTAGCTCTTGTAGACCAGGCTGGTCTCGAACTCACAGAGATCCGCCTGCCTCTGCCTCCCGAGTGCTGGGATTAAAGGCGTGCGCCACCACCGCCCGGCTGGAGTTGTTTTTGAGGGTTTTTATATTGTGTTGTTTAAAGGAAGAGATTGGATATTTAAATCAGGGAATGATACTTTGCCTGGCATGTATGAGGTTATGGGTTTTATCTTCTGCACAGGAAGGAACAGAGGGAGGAAGATGCCGGCAATCTCAGCTACTTGAAAAACCAGGCAGGAACATCACTTGGGTCCTGCTGTTCAAGGGTAGCATAGGTTACAAAGTAAGATCCATCTCAAAGAATAAAAATAAAGACCTGAACCGGGCGGTGGTGGCGCATACCTTTAATTCCGGCACTCGGGAGGCAGAGACAGGCAGATCTCTGAGTTCGAGGCTAGCCTGGTCTACAAGAGCTAGTTCCAGGACACGCTCTAAAACTACAGCGAAACCCTGTCTCGAAAAACCAAATAAATAAATAAATATTAAAATAAAATAAACACAGGCATGGTGGTAAATGCCTATATCCCAGCACTTTTGAGTGTGGAGGCAAGAAGTTCAAGGTAGACTCTCTCTCTCTCTCTCTCTCTCTCTCTCTCTCTCTCACAGGGTTTGTCTGTGCGACAGCCCTAACTGGCCTGCAACTAGCTCTGTAAACCAGGCTAGCCTTGAACTCACAGAGATCCTCCTGCCTCTGCCCCCAAAGTGCTGGGATCAAAGGCGTGCACCACCACAGCCTGGTGTAGTTTAAGATAATCTTGAGCTACTTACAGAGTCAGGTCAAGGCTAGCCTGGGCTACAGGAGACAGTGTGGAAAGAGTTCAAGGTCAGCCAGAGCTGTTACACAGAAAAATCCTGCCTCAGAAGAAAAAAGAGGGGGCTGGAGAGATGGCTCAGAGGTTAAGAGCATTGCCTGCTCTTCCAGAGGTCCTGAGTTCAATTCCCAGCAACCACATGGTGGCTCACAACCATCTGTAATGAGGTCTGGTGCCCTCTTCATGTCCAGCAGGCATACAAACAGACAGAACACTGTATACATAATAAATAAATTAATTAAAAAAATAAAATCATAAGTAAAAATTTAAAAAAAGCCACCCCATAAACACACACACACACACACACACACGCACACGCACACGCACACCCACACCCAGAAAAAAAAAAAAAAAAAAAAAAAAAAAAAAAAAAAAAAGAAGAAAAAAGAGGGGAGAGGGTGTGAAGAAAAGAGAAATGGCAACGGCAAATAGTCGCAGGTGTCTTGTAGGAGGCGCCGTGGAAAACTCAAGTCAAGTGAGCTAGGTGCTGTCTTTGACCCTAGTTCTACGTCTCTTTTAGCAGCTGAATCAATGCAAATTCTAAAGTCCCTTCAAGCTTCAACAATTAAGTCCATATGTGAATATTTCAAAATGTATTGTCCTAATACACCTGATTGACAGTATAGAACAAACTGCTGATGTTGAGTTAGGGATGTAGCTGTTGGGAGAGAGCTTGCCTAGCATATGTGAGGCCTGGGCTGGATACCCAGAGCCACATAATCTTGGATCTCGGAGCTAGAATCTAGCCTGGTCTACACAGGGTTCCAGGAAAAGCCTGGACTTGGAAATACCCTGTCTCAATGCCCCTTCCCAATAATGAGGTATATATGAAGCTTTGGCTTCCCAAATCCTTCCGCAGCTTTGTGAGCCTTTCTCTGTGTTCCTGCTGTGTCTCCTATTAGTGGAAGCCTTAAAACACAACAGTACCAGCTAAGCTACTGAGAAAATAATACTTTCCAGTATGTTAACCCTTCTTTTTCTTAAAAAACAAAACAAAACAATAAACCCACCACTCAATGGTGGCCCATGACATTAGTCACAGCACCCGGGAGGCAGAGGCAAATGGAACTGTGTGAGATTGAGGTCACTTTGGTCTACAGAGTGAGTCCCAGGACTGCCTGTAGCACTACTAATAAAAAAACCATAGACAGATAAATATTGGGGTACAACCTGAAGACCAGAAAATCAAAGCAGCTAGCCACTGGCTCTTACCGCTACCTCTGTACAAAAATGGTGATCCTGCCTCCAGGAATCCTCAGAATGAGAATGAAACCTGTCTCCTCCCATTTTATAATCTCTCTAGTGCTGGGATTAAAGGCGTGCACCACTACTACCTGGTTTTATGGCAAACTAGTGTGGCTACTGGGATTAAAGGTGTGTGCCACCACTGACTGGTCTGTACGGCTGATCACTGCAGCTGTTTTACTCTCTGATCTTCAGGCAAGCTTTATTTATTAAAATACAAATTAAATATCACTACACAGAGAAACCCTGTCTTGAAAACTAACCAAGCCCAGTGGTGGTGGCACACACCTTCAGTCCCAGCACTCGGGAGACAGAGACAGGCAGATCTGTGAGTTCAAAGCCAGCTTGGTCTACATAGTAAGTACCAGGACAGGCTCCAAAGTTACACAGAAACCCTGTCTCGAAAAACAAAAACAAACAAAAAACAAAAGAAAGAAGAAAAAAAGAAAAATCAACCAACCAACCAAACAACAACAACAAAAAAAACCCAAACCTTTTTTTCCTTTATTTATTTAGTGTGTCTGTGCACAAGTGGTAGGAGGGTTATTTGGGGAATTGGTTCTCTCCTTCCACCTTGTAGGCTGCAGGATCATCAGCCCTGGTGGCCATCACCTTTACCAGAAGAACCAACCATCTCATTTGACTTTTTTTTTTTTTTTGAGACACAGTCTCATGTTGACATTGAACCCCTGATCTTCCTGCCTCCACCTCTAAAATAATGGGATTGCAGGCAAGCACCAAGACACCTGCTATGTCAATCTGAGTCCACAACATCTAGTGTGTGCAAGAAAGTTAATTTGATGTAGCCCTAATTTTCAAGAAATCAAGTACATCATACTCTATTGTAAGGAAAGAATCTATAAATGTTCCTTTTTCTTTTTCTATCTTGAATGTCTATGCTTCCGTGAAAGTACAGGAATTAGGTTTCACATAAGACACTACATAAGTATCCTAATAGTATCTATTGACATTAAAAGAAATTAAGTTGGGTGTGGTGGAGCATCCTTTAATCCCAGCACTCTAAAGGCCGGTGAATCTCTGGAGTTTGAGGCCAGCCTGATCTACATATCAATTTCCAGGCTGTGAGGAGCTAAAAGGTTGGAGGAGGGGCGGGGTGAAGGAGGAAGGAGTGCTTTCATTCGGTGGCAGGCTTTGTATAACTATTCTATTTTGTTGACTTATAAAAGTTCAAGAAAGTTTTAGAGGCACATCTGGGGCTAAATCACTCTGTACTATGCCATTTACGGCAAAGTTTTCGACCTCTTTGGACATATTTACATTGGCGCTAACAATACTTAACTGTGATAATGAATTGATGGGATACATGTATGTGCTTTAAATTGCAGGGTGTGGTGGTGTACACCTTTAATCACAGCACTTGGAAGGCAGAGGCAGGTGGATGTCTAAATTCGAGGCCACCCCTGTCTAGAGCTCAAGTTCCAGGACAGCCAGAGTAACAAAGAGAAACCATGTCTCAAATTCAGAACAAAACAGAAAGTGCTCAGGTTGTGCCTGACTCATCTGAGTAGGTTTCGGTCATGGATATATGAAGGGAAGTGGCTGGCTCCAAGTCACTCTTCTAGAAGCAATCCCTAGCAAAGGTTCCTGATAAAAATATAGGCCACACTTATTTAAAAATATGTAAAATGTATTTTACTTAAAGGCTCACTTACGACATTTACTGTATCTTAGGTCGATGCCATAGTAGTAACCAAAGTATTAGAATCTGTAAAAACCATCCTTCTGAGTTTGAGGGTAGAGATTCCAAAAGCCTTTATTCAAGTAATCTGAACCCAGCCCCTCCTGATGCTGCACACAGAAGAGCACTGAATAACCTAAGAATTGGCTCACCACGACCCTAATCCCTCTTTGGGGCCTCCTTTCCTTAAATGTCAAAGAATTCAAAGTGAGCTTTTGCTGTCCTTCCATCTATGACAGTTGGCTTGTGGTAGAGAGGTCTGGGCTCAACAAGGCTGAATGGAAGGGGGCTTAAGGCACTTCCCAAGTACATAACTGAGTTCCAACTGCTTCCAACTTCACATCCGATTTACAACAATGAAGGAGAGAAACGAAGACATTCATGTGGGTTTTCTAGATTGAGTATCTAACACAAGAAAAGCCTAACTGCAAAGAGCCAAGTAGGCAGCGCCAAGAAGTCCTTCCCCGAATGTATCTTTTATCCCTCTGGGTTCAGAGAACAGATCGCTAAATCTTTTCAAACCTCTGTCCCTTAAAGGCTGATCTCCCAGCCACGACCCCTTAGATCCTCCACTTTTAAGAGCTCGGGTCCTCACAGCCCTGTCCCTTCAGGAATTCTTGAGTCCGAAAGCCCCGATCCCGTCCCAATAGTGGACCCAATCCTCACTGCCCGTTTCCATTCCCTCCCAAAGACAAGTCTTCGCTGCTCGCTTCTGCCTCTCCGGTTCCCAAGTCTTTGCTGCCCTGTTTCTGAATCTTCAGGAGCTGGGACTTTGCTGTCCCGCTACTGTCTCTTAGGAGCCCGAGTCCTCTCGCTGCTCCACTTTTACCTCTCTGGAGCCCGTATCTTCACACCCCGTTTCGTTCCTACTCTCGCCTCCTAAAAAGTACAGGTCCTCACCATCCTGTCCCTCTCAGGCGGCTTTCCCTCAGGTGCTGCAGAACTCAAATACCTTCTCGTTCCCTAAGTCTCGTTCGGAGCCCGAGTCCCCAACAGCCGCTGCTTCTGCGAGCCCGAACCCCTCAAGTCCCATCCCGAGAGCCTGGCTCCTCACAGCCCCGTCTCTTCCACAACCTAGTTCTTCCAGCACTGACCCGCTGTGGGTCTGGGTCCTGACGCCCTCCTCCCGCTCTTCGTCCTCAACTGCCAGGGCCCAAGACTCACAGGCAGCAGCGTCTATCTCCCCATGATATGCGGAGACTGCCCCAGTGAAGCTTTCGTCTCAGCAGCCGGTCCGACTGCGCGGCCCTCCCCAAGCACTTCCGGCACCGCTCCCCGCCTCCAACCCGGAAACGCGCGGCTCTTCCGGCCGCCGGGCGCGCGCCTGCCTCGCGCAGGCGCAGACTTGGGTTCAACACGTGGTTGAGCTGTGAGGCCGGCGCCCGGCTCGGCTTGCTGGTCGTGCTTTTTGCTGTGTGCGGCTGGTTGTCGGCGTGGGCGAGCGCTGCGTCTCCTACCTCGGTGTGAATCCCTGCCCTAGATGTTTCTTTCCGACTCCTATGTTTTCACTAGCGTGACCGGTAACCGACGGCCTCGGATGGCTTCCAAGTCGCCATTTTTGGTTGGTGCCTTTGTCGTGCTGAGGATGGGACCGCAGTTCTGTATAGATACCAACTATGCGGCTCCCTCCAGGGGAGTTGGTGGAATGAGAAATTGGGGACTAGAAAGGCTAGTTGGACCCGTTACATTGTTACAGTTGAGCGAGCGCTGAGGAACTGGTTAAGCACCCCCACTTTGCAGTAGGTCATGTGATCGAGGAGGAATCCTGTGTGCAGTTTACCAAGATTCTACCTAAGATGCAGGGTCTCAAAATTCTCACTCCAAAGCTTGGGCTGGACCTGTAACCGCTAAGCTCTAAGCTTTGAGGTTCTTTTTAGTCCATTAAATGCTTGGTGACGACTGTATTTTTTTAAACCCTATTCCAATATTCCAAATTAGGCATGTAAGCAACACGCGGGTTCAGCGTCTGGCAGGGTTCCCAGTAAGCTGGAGATCCCACACTAATGTATAGAAATCTTTGACCTCCCTGAGCTATCAATGTCCTCGTTTGCAGGAATCAGGGAGAGGTTCCCAGGCCGGTTCTTTATCTTTACATCCTCATTCTGTCAGTCTCATCCAAAGTGCTGGGAGCAAGGGCTTAGCTACCATTAAGTGACAAGCTGTCCATAGCTTTTTCTTTTCTTTTTTTGAACTTATTTTCTGTGTAAGAGTGTTTCGTTTGCATTTATATATGTGCCTGCCTGGTGCAGAGGTCAGAAGAGGGTAGAGGGTAGCTGAAGCGTTGAAATTGAAGTTAGAGATGGTCGTGAGCCACCATGTGGCTGCTGAGATTAGTCCTCTGCAAGAGCAAGTGCTCCAAGCCATTAAGCCGTTTCTCCAGCTCCTAACCTTATTTTTCTAATACAGTCTTTAGAGTTTGGCATATCAGTTTTTGTCGTTAAGTTTCTCTATTTACTAAACCTTTGTTTTGCTGTGTGCTGGGTACATACTGTTGGGTAAGACAGGCAGTCTTGTCTTAAGAGTGTACAGGCAAGTGCACAAAGGGTAAGAATATCAATAAATTAAGACTGATCTGAGTGATGGCGGGTCCTAAGCCAATGTTCTCTGTGTTAAGAAAGCTTACAAAGAGCCAAAGTGGTTGACGTTTGATAGGTGACAGTGAGAAACAGGTGGACTAGGTTGGAGGATTCATTTTAGGCCACAGCTTGTACAATATAGTAGAGATTTGGGCTTTTATTCAGTGTGCAGTGGAAACCGAGGAGGGAGAGCGTAATTTGTGTTTATGGAAACACTTGTGGGGTGTGTTACACCTTTGATCACGCACTTTGATCACGCCTTTGATCCCAGCACTCTGGAAGCAGACGCAAGTGAATTTGAGTTTGGGGCCAGCCTGGTCTACTTAACAGAGAGGGTAGCCAGAGCTACACAGTAAGGCCATGTGTCAAATAACGTTGGATTGTAAAGAATCCTTTGCTGGACACTTGATAGCAGCCACCTGCCTTCCCACGAGTTTCAAATACCTCTTCCTTTTGCAGTGTAAAGCTGTTATTTATATATCTCCTTTTGTTTGTAGATTCCACTTCATAAAGGGCAGGAAACTGTATACATTATTAAAATATATTAAAGTATAATGTCCAAAAGCCTATCTTTTTCTTTCTTCCTTTTTTTTTTTTTTTTTTTTTTTTTTGAGACAGGGTTTCTCTGTCTAGCTTTGGAGCCTGTCCTGGAACTAGCTCTTATAGACCAGGCTGACCTTGAACTCACAGAGATCTGCCTGCTGCTGCCTCCCAAGTGCTGAGGTTAAAGACCTGCGCCACCACTGCCCGGCATATCTTTTTCTTTTGATTTCAAAAATGCATATGCCACCAGCACTCGGGAGGCAGAGGCAGGCGGATCGCTGGGAGTTCGAGGCCAGCCTGGTCTACAAGAGCTAGCTCTGGGACAGGCACCAAAGCTACAGAGAAACCCTGCCTCTAAAAAAAAAAAAAGGCTGGAGAGATGGCTCAGAGGTTAAGAGCATTGCCTGCTCTTCCAAAGATCCTGAGTTCAATTCCCAGCAACCACATGGTGACTCACAACCATCTGTAATGGCGTCTGGTGCCCTCTTCTGGCCTGCAGATATACACACAGACAGAATATTGTATACATAATAAATAAATAAATAGAAAAATGCATATGCCATTGTGCCTGGCTTCTTTACACATTAATGTAAACGCAGTAAGGCGTGGAGAGACAGCTCACAAAGTGGGTAAAGCACTTGAGGTGCAAACATAAGAACCTGTGTTCCATTCCCAGCATACTCAGAAAAAGCTGGACCAGACTGGTACCAATATGTTGTGAGGAGGTGAAAACAGAAGGATTCCCGGGCTTGTTGGCCAATCTGCATGAATTGAGGATGGTTAGGTTAGAGACCCTGTTTCAAGACATAAAGTGATTGAGGGAAAACATCAGACTTTGACCTCTTGCCTACACAAACAGTAAACCAAGCATTATTGGGACATCCCAGTAATCCTGTCACTTAAGAGGCTGGATTCAGAGTTAGAAGGTGGTTTAGACATGCAAAATAGTAATACCCCCCCCCCCCCACACACACACACTTTCTTAAAAAGCTCTCTGGACACTGCCACTCAAGTTCAATCCTGGATTACTTGATGAGACACTTCTAAAATTCCTTCCCCAGAGGAAACATAACGTCTACCCTTTTTCCCAGAGTCCCAACTGAGGTCCGCACCAGAATTCACTCTGGGCAGCCAATTAGTTTATTGGGTTTATTTACAGAGTAGGTGAGAGGTTAGCAACAGGGGTGTGGGTACTTGTCCCCCAGAAGTCATACCTTAAAATGTTTACTCAGCAGGGATAATGGCTCTCCTATAGTGCATAGATGAGCCCCCTCCCCAGTGTTCCTTGGGCTATATTCTGTAACCCTTGCTGGACACCACAGGCAATTAAGGAAGAATTGGAGTGGCTGGATACGCGGGTGAATTTTATGACAACCCAACCCCCCTCCTTGAGGGAATGTCAACTGGTATCTTTTGCAAGTGGGCTCAGCTGAACAGCCCAAGATGGTGGTTATTGGGCTTGGGGACTGGTCTTGAACAACACCCTGTCTGAAATAAGTAGGTTAGAATCCATCAGTCATCTGTCGGGTGCTTTTTGTCTTTGATACAGGTTCCCCATGTGACCTAGGCTTACCTGGAACTGCTGCAGCCTCCCATGCAGGAATGCGTGCACCACTCAGCCCAGTGGTTTGGAACTCAACATCTACTCCAGCCTAGCCAGAATTCCCTGTAGTGCTCCTGTCTCTGCCTCCTGAGTGCAGGAATTACTGGAATAAGCCACCAGACTGCACTTCTATAAAAAAAAAAAAAAAAAAAAAAAAAAAAAAAAAAGTATCTGAACCGTGGCGCACGCCTTTAATCCTGGCATTCAGGAGGCAGAGGCAGGTGTATCTCTGTGAGTTCAACGCCAGTCTGGTCTACAAAGCAAGTTCCAGGACAGCTAAGGCTACACGGAGAAACCCTGTCCCGACAAATCAAGTTATATATTATATAACACACACAAACATATATCTGCTTTCATCGAAGTACAGCGTGAAGTGTCCTGCCATTTAGGTACAGGGGGCTGGCTGGCTTTGCTTTTCCCTCCCCATCACCTAGAATCTAGGTCCTAGACGTCCAGTTGCTCCGTTTGTTTGCTTTTACAGTCATTGGCTCCTCCTGTGTGTCTTTGTCAGGCTGGACCAGGATGGACGGCTACGAGTGGCACTAGCTCCGTATTTCAGTTTTGATTTAGTTAAAGCTTGGTGCTCCCGGAGCTAGTCTTCCCCGGGCGGTTCTTCCGCTGCGAGTTGGAAGCTGTGGTTGGCGGCAGCGCCGCCTGCCTTTCCCTCCGAGCCCGCTAGCGCCTTCCCGACAAGCACTGCTCTAATTTGCATATTGACTCACGACCTTCCCTTTACGTCTATACAAAAATCGAAAAACATTCTCTTTGTGAAAGCTTCCCTCGGCCTCAGAAGACTCTAGTGTTCCCTCCCGAGCGTCGGCAATATAGAATTGAAAGTTGGGTCGACTTCATTTTCACCTTCACCTTAAGATGGGTGGTCCGACATTGCCAACCTGCTCTTGCGCGTGCATGGGCAAAAAGGGCTTCTGTCGTGAGTGGCACACGTAGGGCAACTCGATTGCTCTGCGTGCGGAATCGACATCAAGAGATTTCGGAAGCATAATTTTTAGATTTCTGGGCAGCTGGTGATCGTTGGTCCCGGCGCCTGCGTCTGGTGTGAAAAAGTCAGAGCCGCTTTACACGTTGAGTTTTGTAGCGTCTTGTTTCGAGAGCGTTTAGGAAACTGCGTGTTTTTTTTTTTTGTTATCCTCACTGTATCTGAAGGCGACCAACGACGGTCCTCATTACTATGCACATGGAGAACAAAAAGGACTTGGGGTCCTCTGCAACTGAAGTTTACATTTTGTTTAGTTGTGTTCTGTCACGTGGTTGCTGCAAGCTGAACTCCCCAAATGCTGAGATTAAACTCGCGTCCAAGGAATATGGGCTTAGAGTTGGCTCAGCAGTTAAGAGCTGAACAATTGTTGAGTTTCCAGTGTTGAGCACTCCACCTTGGCAATAGGCACACATCAAGTGTACATATATACACATAAAAGAGAAATAAATCATTTTTTCAAATATACAATCGAGGTGTGGTGGTACATATGTTTAATCCTGGCACTCAGGAGGCAGAGACAGGCAAGATCTCTGAGTTCCAGGTCAGTC